TTCTGCATTCACAAAATCTACATTCAATCCTTAAAGGGATAGTGCAAATTTCCTTTTATGTCCTTTTTTTTCGTAAATAACTATATTACAAAAATAATGTAGTTATTTTCATTTCGATACCTCATTCCGTTCCCGAGTTATCGCTAAAAAAACCACCTGCAAATTCATAGCAACGGCCCTTAGTTACGCCACAAAAAATCATCGACAGTTTCCGTGAATCTTCGGAGAGTGACGTCATACCCAGAACTTGTTGTTGATGCCCGCCATTTTCGCCACTGTACCAAACAGAAGTGACAGAATGTCAAGCCGCTGTGTGGCTATGTTTTGTAACCATGCTAATAGTCAGCTGTACGAATGGCCAAACAACCATGAGAGAGCTCGCCTGTGGACAAAATTTGTGCAAGTGAAGCGTGATGAATGGAGTCAATCGACAAGAAGCGTTTTGTGCGCAGAGCAATTTTCTGACGATAATTGTTTTGATAATTTGCAACAATTCAACATGGGTCTTATCTCCAAAGAAAAGTATTTGATGTGCTTAGAAATGTTATTCTTTTAAATCAAAGATGAATTTACGAAGAATAGCCATGCTAGGAGGGGGGGTAGGGGGGGCCTAGGCCTAGTTAGACCTCTTCTCGACTCTTGACTTGTGCTCGACTGTCCGATCATGCGTTGTCGCTATCCTTTCTTAAACCCATTTTGTGGGGTATATAAAGCTAAAATACCAACTAGCAAGTCGCAACCACGTAAATGAAAAGTCCTAGAACGGCAAACCGAGGTTTCAAACAATGAGAACGAAGCTCAGGATGAGAATAATTATAGAAGAAACAATCAATTGATTATTAGGCCTATCAAAGACTCTCCGTACTGTTTTGGAGTGGATATTTCGACTTCAATTATGATTATTTGCAAAATGGTGATTAAGTGGTGTGGTAGTAGCATTAGATAATATAATCAATAATTATATAAATCAAATAAATGATCAGTACGAAACTGCCAGTGTTAGTAGGCCTACGCCTACTCAACTGTCGTACTCGTACTGACTACTGTCTCAGTCTCCAGCCACATTGAGTTCGGAATTTAATTTTTTTCTCTGATGTAACAAATATTCAAAATATAATTGTCAAATGCATGCCATGTCTGAGAATGCCTTTGGAAAATTTTCCATTTGAAAAGGCCTGCACATAACCTACTTCCCCCCTAGATCAAATAATTATTGTCAACTTACCATTGTTACTTTTTTCATTATATTAAATAGGCTTAGATTGAATGGTTTGGCTGTCCCAACAAAACAAGCCACTCCACCCAATTCCAATTCAACTTTGCCTAAACCACTTCAAAGATCTACAACAGTCAAGTTGGGGAAAAGGAGGATTATTGAAGAGCTAAATAGGAAGATCAGTGACAGTGCCAATAACAGAGAAAGTGAGATGCTCAGTTGTAAGAATGAAATGGTGGCGCCTGAATGTACAACAGTTCCTCAAGACCTCCATGTAAACTTTTTATCATACATGTATACATGTAAATCTTAAACATGGGCTTTTCATAATTATTTATAAAAATTCATATTTGTATGTCATTGTTGATTTATTTGAATATTGTTTAACATCTTTTGTAACCTGTAGTAACCCGTACATCTTTTTCTTTCCATCACTTGTGTATATATTTTAACAATATATCGAAATATTATGTAAATTATACTGATTTTTTCTGACTTCGTTCATACCTCGACTTTGTATAATGATCTTATTCTGACCCAGTTTATTATTATAAAAAACATAATCACAAATAGTTCAGTTTATATGCAGATAAGTTAAGTTCTTGATAATCTTGTGTAAGTTTTGGCTTGTCAGTTGTAAATTGTCAATTATTCTACCCTGAAATTAAATGAACTTTTTGTGTTAAGTTAATAATGGTAATGATCGTACATTTTTTGTGTGATTTCATTCAATGAAACCAAGGGACAAACCAAGTGCTATTTCGTTTTTATCTGCACAAATGAGGGCAGCTTGATTGAAAGTGTCCTCATTTAATGTGATGTTACATACGAGACATTCTCCTACTCAAAGTGGAGGCTAGAAGGGTTGTTGGGCTATTTTAAAAATTTTGAATAACCTTAATGAAAAAGACAAGTTAATCAATGCTTTATTCTAAAGCAGGCATGTTTATTTTTTGCATTCTAGACCCTTTAAATGTGTACAGATCTTCTCGACCTGGTGGAGGAAAATGTGCACGGATACAACAGACGACACATGCTGGCAAAACAACTCTGACATCTTTTCCTGAGTAACCCCAGCACCATCGCACAAATTGTCTATAAGCTGTCGGTATCTCTCATCCTGTCTACCACTAAAAGCATGTCGACCATATTGCTGCTTGTACCCTAACCATGCTACTTCCAAAACAATTTGATTAAAGCATAAAGGTTCCATTCCCGGATGATCAGTTATACATTCAATCCGCTGCCCTGTTGAGTCTTCATGCTGTGTGATCTTTGCTTGCGACGTGGTGGTCTCCTGGCAGCAACGACATTGCAAAGCTTCACCCATTGGTTGACAGCTTCCACACTACACCTGAAAAAGGAAGAATACATATTGTATTAATGTTCTTAAATATAGTATAAGTCCATGTATAGTCATTACAGTAAGTATTGTCGTTAGGCATACTGTCGTAGGCACAAAACATTACAATATGCACCCTTTGTAACTGAGATTTATAGGCCACAGGCAGTCCTATTTATCTCAAACCTTCAATATATCCACGTTAAGTCTTGATGTAGGCTACAGATTTATCGACTCTCGGCTCGACTTACACATTTCTTTTTTTAATCAACAGGGCGAGGTCAGGACTTTAATATTAAACTCATTAAAAAAAAAAATAGCACCTGTCCACACTAGCCTAGTGTTGATCTTAGATATAACTCACTATTTATCCTCGAAATCGGTTAGACATGGTCATAATAATCTGACCATTATTACTAAGCATTAAGGGTAGGATTTGCTTATTATTCTTACGATCGACCTTAAGCTGCCACGCCCAACCTTCACCACCACTGTCACTCATGCCAGCTTCTTCTTCGACAGAAGCATGTGATTTGCCTAAATCAGTTGACTCTGAAGAGGTATCCGATGTTTCGCCATGTGGAATTACCGATTCCATTTTGACGTATGTTCTGGGTATGACGTCATTGACGCGACGTGATAACAAAGCGCGCCATTTTATAGGCAATTCTAGGAAAGTCCGTATTTTTTCCATTTTTGAGAAAAGTAACTTTTGGCAAATTTTTAAAAAAATTTTTTGTAAAAGATTAACAATCCAGGAGATATTCCACACATTTAAAAACAATCTAAATCTGCACTACCCCTTTAAATAAGTGTTTGGGTGGAAGCATTAATCCTGTCATAATGACGCCATAACCATTGCCACGTCATTATAGTGGTGCCGTATAACGGAGTTGTAAAGTAAAAACAAGCGGTTTCAAGTGGATGCCAAGTTGTTTCCTGTTGTGATCTGTTTCAGGTTCAGCACCAGCACCAACCAGATATTCTTGTGCGATCCCAAAAATGAAAATCTCCGCAATTGTGCCTTCTAGAGTCACGTTTCTAATTATTGCACATTTTTAACTGTGCCACTATTCGTTTTGCAAAAATGTTCAAATTTGTATTAAATAATTCACTACACATTTAGGTCATATGCATTGTTGCAGCAACTATTGCAGTTTCTTACAAACTTGGTCAATGTACCCGGCGACCAGTACCAGAATTTTTTTAAAGGCATACATCTTGAGGCAATATTCCCGAGATTTTCTTTAAACAATTCCCTGATGTACCATCATTGAATTTTTGCCTTTTCAAAAAAGAAGCATACGGATGAAAATATTATCGCAGATTAGTTTTGTTTGGGGTTACACCTTGAGATCTTCAGTGTACCGTGTGCCCCCAGCCAGTGGCGGAGCCAAAGGGGGGTAGAGGGTCGGCCGCCCCCTTCGCTGCACCGAAAGCAAGTTTTTCGGGTAAAATCCCATAATAAGTTTAGAAATTCTCAGGTATTTCGCCCCCCACCCTCTCTCGTAAACCTGGATCCGCCACTGTCCCCAGCCGACAGTGAAACACAGTGCCCATCCTTAGTAAATAGTGGGGGGAGAGGCGGCAGCCTCCATCGCAGCCCCGAAGACATTTTTTTCGGGCAAAAATCTCTTAACCAGGTTAGAAATTCGGACAATATCAGATATTTCGCTCCCGTCGGGAGTAAACCTGGCTCCGCCATTGCATTCATTATATCTTTCACCTTATTGTATTGTTTATTTACATGTTATGCTGCACCCAAATGTTATCTTGAAAAGACTCTAGTGTATGACAAAAACCATTCGTATGACGCGACTAACGTAGCCTATTTGACTAAAAATCTGACCTACTATCAATTAGACGCCTCTATTTTAGGAACCAACCATCCCAGATGACAACGAGTTTGGGGCTTTAACTTATCCTTGGCAATCACTTAATATATTTCAGTGGTGTCCTTTCATCTATCACATCCCGTGGCTACGTCCAGACCTTCGTACAGGAGAAAATGAACTTGCAAAGAAATTTACATTTTTTAAAAGGATACTACCTCTTAGAATGGACAGAAAATTAAAGTCTTCAACTTGATCAACAAGTGTATATATTCACCAGTTAGACTGACCAAGTACCATGACTAAAGAATAAAAACTCTATGTATTATGATATATCCATTAAACAAAAAAATTATTCAACCAAGCTTCTAAGTATGTTTAATGAATGTTTACCAGTTTTATGGATCATAGAGGGATTCTTTTGTATCGTTATGACACCAGGTAAGTCCACTGATACAAAAAGGACCATTTTAACAACATTTCAAAATATCAATTTTTGGCCTTCCTAAGAGGTAGTATACCTTTAAGGTAGGCATGGGTTGACAGCTCATGGAGCTTGTAAATAGCATGTGCTTTTTGCTTATAATAGTGAATATATTCTGCATCAGTTATTTCATTGAATTTGAATTTTATTTTTTATTTATTCACTGTTGAGTAATATATCATAAAATGATTTTAAAAAATAAATAATATCAAAATATAGTGTTACATACGGTACATTACTAATCCCAGTTAAAAATGTAAAACATGAGTTATTCTCCTTAGATTTTCATCAATTTTTGAAAAGCATACATGAATGCTTTTTACACTCAGAGTAAATTCCCTCTGTCCTAATTGAAGATGATGACATTTGAAGCAGGTAACTGTATTTGTACAAAATATATATATTTGTATAAAAACCATCTGATTAAAATGCCAATCTGGATGTTTCGTTTCATGTTCGATCTGAGGGTTACTACACTCATCATTCAGGATCTGACTTAATTATTCTTAAACTTGTGTTCAGTCAAATTTTTGCCCAGTAATGTCAGTAGCTGTCCTACTATATGCTATTCAATTAAACTGCTGACTATGTAAGTCAATGATTTAAATGAAATATCCCAGAATTCTTCATAAAGGAAAGAAATATTTTATGAACAGAGGATAATTATGATTGGTTGAATATTATATAACCCTGAACATGAGATACATAACAATTTCGTCAGATCATGGTTGGCAAGTGAAGTCAACTACAGAAAAAAACCTGAATCGAAAGACTCGGAGGGGCATTTTAATAAGATTGCAAAAAAACAGACAAAAATAAAGAATTTTAAGATTGAGGGAAGAGAAGAGACAGAGAGACAAAAATCGGTTGTTCAGCGTTTTCAACTTTTAAACTGCCACTGCGACTAGTTTTCTCTCCCAGACCAAATTTATGAGACATGACACCAGTAGTCTGCTGATGTAATTGATGTGTGTTATCATAGTGGTTCACTGTAATGTTGTATCTAACCATACGATCTGGTCTCATAGAAAATGTCTGACGTTCACATTGACGGAAACTCAATACTGGATCACCTGGCTTCAATCTCTTTAATATAAATATAGTTAATGAATTAATGAAGGTTTAAATATCTACTTTTTTTTATCAGTTTGGGCTGTTGATTCTCAATAACAATTTCCAGTTAGAAAAAATCATCACAAAGCATTCAATATTCAGAGCTGATGAAACAAGGATGTAGATCATTTTCATTAGCCTGAACATTTCTATCCAGGAATAAAGGTAACAATTTTCAATAAGAAAAGGATTAAAACAGCTGAAAACCAACCAACCTGTAAAGAGACGACGTATGTTTTACAGTTTCCTTGTCTCACTGCTTTCAATTCAAAATGGAAGCCATGAAGAGAAATAATCTCAGAATGGTAATGTGGTTCCTGGAAAAAAATAAAACATAAAATTTTTCGTTTTGTGTTGCATGTCATTGTATTCTGATAAGGCTTTTCAGCTTTTCAGATTTTTCTTTCATCAGTAGGCCTACTTAAAGTTGCAGACTCATGATCTAATTTCTTTTTCATGTCTTAAGTTGGGTGGATAAAAAGAGAATTATTTGTAGCCTACTTGAAGTAGCTGTAAGACTGATTTTCTATTCTTTTTTTCTATCAATGGATTATGATACCAGGTAATACTTTTGCAGTATGGGAAAGTGAACTAGTTTTTAACTCACTGAGTCAACCAAGCTCCGTATAAAAAAGAATTTATTTAGACGACTCACTGTATCTATTATAAAACCATATCTTATAGCTGATTGGTTGAAATTTTTGAATGAAGGCATGTCACCTCCGGCTTGTAGCTAAAATAATATAAAGTTAACAATATGATTCAATGGATCTGGTATTTTAATTTTATCACTCCTGATAGTGGATGTCAACAAACTTATAATGATAGATTAAAGATGGGTACCTTGATTTTCATTCATGAAAATGAAGATAGCTTGCCAGGCAAGGTAACATACGCCCACTGGCAGCTGTCAGAAATGATTAAACAGTCTTTAGTGACTACAGGGTTGCACAATATAGCTAATAGAGTGAAACGTCAAGTCAGACACGATATTTCGGTGAAATATTATCCGATCATCGCGAAAATCGATAGGGATCATCTTCATAATGACATTGACATACAAAAAGATAGCTTGCCAGGCAAGGTAACATACCCCCACTGGCAGCTGTCAGAAACGATTAAACAGTCTTTAGTGACTACAGGGTTGCACAATATAGCTAATAGAGTGAAACGTCAAGTCAGACACGATATTTCAGTGAAATATTATCCGATCATCGCGAAAATCGATAGGGATCATCTTCATAATGACATTGACATACAAAATAAAAATCAAGAGAATCTGTAAAGAATTGTAGCCTGTAGAGTGAGCACGAGTTGCACAATATAGCTAATAGAGTAAAACGTCAGGTCAGACACGATATTTCGGTGAAAAATTATCCGATCATCATGAAAATCGATAGATCATCATGAAAATCAATAGGGATCATCTTCATAACGACATAGACATACAAAATAAAAATCAAAAGAATCTGTAAAGAATTGTAGCCTGTAGAGTGAGCACAAGTTGCACAATATAGCTAATAGAGAAAAACATCAAGTCAGACACGATATTTCGGTGAAAAATTATCCGATCATCACGAAAATCAATAGGGATCATCTTCATAATGACATTGACACACAAAATAAAAATCAAAAGAATCTGTAAAAAATTGTAGCCTGTAGAGTGAGCACGAGTTGCACAATATAGCTAATAGAGAAAAACGTCAAGTCAGACACGATATTTCGGTGACAAATTATCCGATCATCACGAAAATCAATAGGGATCATCTTCATAATGACATTGACACACAAAATAAAAATCAAAAGAATCTGTAAAAAATTGTAGCCTGTAGAGTGAGCACGAGTTGCACAATATAGCTAATAGAGTAAAACGTCAAGTCAGACATGATATTTCGGTGAAAAATTATCCGATCATCACGAAAATCAATAGGGATCATCTTCATAATGACATTGACACACAAGATAAAAATCAAAAGAATCTGTAAACAATTGTAGCCTGTAGAGTGAGCACGAGTTGCACAATATAGCTAATAGAGTAAAACGTCAGGTCAGACACGATATTTCGGTGAAAAATTATCCGATCATCACGAAAATCAATAGGGATCATCTTCATAAAGACATTGACACACAAAATAAAAATCAAAAGAATCTGTAAAGAATTGTAGCCTGTAGAGTGAGCACGAGTTGCACAATATAGCTAATAGAGTAAAACGTCAGGTCAGACACGATATTTCGGTGAAAAATTATCTGATCATCACGAAAATCGATAGGGATCATCTTCATAATGACATTGACATACGAAATAAAAATCAAAAGAATCTGTAAACAATTGTAGCCTGTAGAGTGAGCATCAGTTGCACAATATAGCTAATAGAGTGAAACGTCAGGTCAGACACGATATTTCGGAGAAAAATTATCCGATCATCACGAAAATCAATAGGGATCATCTTCATAATGACATTGACACACAAAATAAAAATCAAAAGAATCTGTAAACAATTGTAGCCTGTAGAGTGAGCACGAGTTGCACAATATAGCTAATAGAGTAAAACGTCAGGTCAGACACGATATTTCGGTGAAAAATTATCCGATCATCACGAAAATCAATAGGGATCATCTTCATAATGACATTGACACACAAAATAAAAATCAAAAGAATCTGTAAAAAATTGTAGCCTGTAGAGTGAGCACGAGTTGCACAATATAGCTAATAGAGAAAAACGTCAAGTCAGACACGATATTTCCGTGAAAAATTATCCGATCATCACGAAAATCAATAGGGATCATCTTCATAACAACATTAACATACAAAATAAAAATCAAAAGAATCCATAAAGAACTGTAGCCTGTAGAGTGAGCACGAGCCAAATGTGAACGGACGGACGGACGGACCGACGGGGTGATTACAATATACACCCATCTTAAATGTGGGCGTATAAAAATGCTAATATGAATAGAAAGTAGAGGTGTTCTAATGACTGGGAAAAATACCAGTTTGTCTCTCAAGAAATTAGGTCAAGAACACATGCATAATCTTTCTAAGTGGCCGGTGTTTACACAATGATATGAATACAGTATTAAGTTATGTTTGCTGAAAAATCATGCTGATGACCTGTGCAGAACACACATATATTTCACAGATTTAAAGATATATACTTATATGAATAGAAAGTAGGGGTGTTCTAATGAATTGGAAAAAAACCAGTTTGTCTCACATGTCCATAATTAATTCATCATTAGCTCAATTAGAAGAGAATTACCAGCAGAATTCAAATGAGTGACCGATCAAGAAAGGTCAAAAAGTCTTTTTTTGTTTATCCAGACTGTACATACATGGACATTTATGATTGGTTAAAACTCTTAATTATATGCAATAAGATAATAATGATATGATTAAGAATACATGATAATTCATGAGAAACACCAATTAATCAAATAGTTTGCTTAATTTCACACTAAAAAATACAGAAACCATCTTTAAATGATCATAGACAGATACCCATATGAAAAAGTTTAATTTCAAAATAGGGATTATGACAAACTCACTGTTGCTTAGCAATTATGAAGAGTTTCTCAATAATCAGATAACCAAATTTCAAATATGATGTGCCTGTTTGCATGTCAAGCTATTACAAACTCAGTCTAATATAGCTAGACAATGTGGACATGAATACTTCTACAAGCTTACAACATTTTTTATCTCTCATTAAATACTATACTGGGCAATCCTAAAATAGTGGCTTCAATCAATATGAAATAATGCTAAAGAAAATACAAACATACAACTCCCTTAATTATCTTTTCATGGACAAATCTGATATATTTTGAGACGTTTGAAAGTGCTGTTTAAAGGGAGGAGACTACTTACAGAATTATAATGTTGAGATAACAGATCAACTAGCCATTTCTGGGGTATAATATTAGTCATCTGCATATCTTGTACATTACAAGCTGAAACATAATTGAAAGATATATTATGGCTAAAGATCTGACGCATACATTGTGAAATTAAATACAAAGATGTGAACAAATTAAGGATTTCCATAATTAGTGCGTAAAATCTTAATAGATGTATAAATATTCACTTCAACCACAACCAATTTCTAAATAACAATATTACTTCAGGTTCTTTTTCAATTAAATCTTAAAGGGACAAGTAGGCCATTGTTTTGACCAATCATACTTTATTCTCAGAAAATGGACTTTTATAGTGAAGCTAATCAGTTATAGTGTTAAAACCTCACTGTCGAAATTTGAGACTTCATATCCAAGTGTGTTGAAAGTTAAAATGATGACTTGTCAATTTAAGATACTCGGTGATATATAGAAAAGACATATATAGAAAAAGTGTGTAAAATATCTAGTTTGAATTATTTTTAAAGGAATTATGTGATTTTCGTACATTTCTAGTACTTCTGATATATTCAAGAATAAAATAAACCCCCCAAAATGGAACACCTGTCTCTGTAACAAAATTTTTATAAACTTAATGAAACTTTTGCCAGTAAGGAACTGCTATCTCATGTTTGATTCTGTGGGGATGTGAATAGGCTTAGGACATAGAAAACAGAAGAAACACAGATAATTAAATTGAGAAATGAGAATGTTGACTTACTATCAGTGATACCATGTAATCGCAGAGCTGAAAACAAGGGGGCATAACTCTGTCCTTCTTCCTTCTCAATCAAACTTGAAGATTTTGATAAGCTGAAAAAAAATCAAACAGAACCAAAGTACAGTAAGTTTATGTCTGGACAATTTCCACAATAACTATAAGGCGTGTACAATCACTGTCAATAGTCTTTAGTCAGACATATTCAAAAAAAAAATAACAATCAAGTGGTAACAAAGTGTGCACTATACTCAGAAATATACAGTATGTGATTTCCATCATTGCTGGGTGAAATCAAGTAAGATCTTATTTAGCAGATGTTTCTCATATATAAAATACTCAATAAGATGGCTGGTTCATATAGATCAATTTTCAATATCAAGACTTAGCTGAGGTGCAATTTAAATAGTCAGCTTAGTCATATTTTGCAGCTAGTTTAGCAAAATTCAATATTTAGACTTACAATATAGTAGAAAATGAAATGAATGGGGTTTTACGTCCTACTTTTCTGCACCATTAAGATGGGCAACGCCATGCAGGGTGTAATGAGGGAAACGACTAGATGCTTTTTTCATGTCAGCCCCTCGTACAGGCATGACTGACAGGGGGAAACCTGGTTGAAAAACCTTCAGGTTAGCGAGGAAGCGTCTTAACTCACTGAGCCACCGCTGAGTAAACTCAGTGAACAGTATTACGAAGTTAATAACAAGAATATTCTACAGTAGGTGTAGGACCTGGGATAATTTGGCCTTTCCCCAAATTTGAAATTTTTTGGGTAATGAGGCATAGTCGTTCTATTCATTCGATTCTCCATGATTAAAAAAGATTGGTAGCAAAACCTCCCAAAGAGAAAATTACAAAATAGTAAGGGTGTATAGGTATCATAGGAAGGTTTTATAGGGTGAAGGGGTAAGAAAGAAAAGAAAGACAAGAAAAAAATATATTTTACAAGGATAACAACTTAGGTTCATAGTTAAGGATCCTTTCAAGTAAACCTCTTTAGATTGGATTTGGTTATGATTCCATATGCAAAGAAAGAAAGAAACAGACAAACAAACAAATATATTTTACAAGAATAACAACTTAGGTTCACAGTTAAGAATCCTTTCTACCAGCTGGTCTTTGGCCAAACCTCTTGGCATTGATCTTTCCCAGGTTATCTGTACCCATTTACAGCTTGGTCAACTGGAATTATGATGGAAGATGACTTATTCAAGTCACTAGACTATCACACGTAACCAAGCAAATGACGCCATGTTAAGAACCAACGCTCTAAGCGACTGTGCCATAGAAACGCATCAATCAAGGATTTTGAAAGGGGTTTTGGAAAGAAAAAAAGTTGAAAATCCCTGTTGTAGGAGTTACTCACCTATTAAAGAAAGACAATATAGAGCTATGGGAAGGCATCAAATGTAAATCAGGATTAAGTTGAAAGAAAACCCAATAAGCTAGAGTTTTATACACACTGTATTCATTGTACACAAACAATCTGAAAAACAAAGAATAAACAAATAGAAAGGACCACTAGGAATTTTAAGTTGTAACATTACAGTTGAGTAATTCTAGAAAACACAGGCACAGGCATATAGCTGTAACCTCTAGAGAGTATTTTTTTTTGCAGTTAGTTAGATTAAAATATTATAATTGGAAATTATCGGTCATTTTGAGCAGCCCTGTCGGTCATATCCGGCATATAGAGCCAAATCAACAGCGCTGATTGTAATGTATCTTCAGAACCTAAAAGATTTAATTAATTTCAAGTAAACCTCTTTAAATTGAGAAATGATTTAATTGCATACGTATCCATATGCAAAGCAAGAAAGAAACAAACAAACAATTAGTCCCTGGCCAAACCTCTTTGCATTGCTCTTTCCCGGATTATCCTAACCTATTTACAACTGGGTCAACTGGAAATTTGAGTGAAGATGACTTATTCAATGTCATCAGAGTATCACACACCGATTGAGAATTGAACCCAGTCGCCATTTGTAACAAGCAATTGTTTTCTTTCAGCTATCAATGTCTCCAATTTATATCAAATTTAAGAAACCCTTCTAAAATCCCATTTAAAGACCCATCAACAGTTGAAAGAGAGCAGACTAATCCCTCTGTCCTGGCAAAAATGCCCTCATTGCACCCCGCATGTCGTTGTCCGTCTTCATTAGCCATCATGGAGTAGAAAAGTAGGATGTAAAACTCCATTCATTTCATTTCATTATCCCATTAAAGAATGACAATCTACCAATCCAATAATCTTACCTATTAGATCGTAATATTTTCTGTAGTAATTCTAAAGGAACATCTCGAAGTTGAATCTGACTGGCTACATGTGGTATTAAGTTTAACTCTAACCATCTTTCACAAGCATCTGTTAAGATATCTTGATCATACTGAAATAAAACACTTGATACATTATTGTATAAAACATACATGTATTAGCTAAATAAGATCATTTTACAGATAAGCTTACTTCTAGAATAATTATTGTTTTGAACTTTTCAATGTGGTTCTCAGTGTGATGAAATGTTGAAAGTAAAAAAATATTCAAGAAATTGTCTTATTTATCTATAAATTGTGCTCCTGATATGCAATTTTGAAGTTGATATTAGCCAGATAACCCTCACTTCAGGAATATTTTAATGGAGCTTGAATTCAGATTCAAAGTTTTGGACTTCAACCAATGAGCTTAAAGTAAGTATAATGTGAATTTAAGGCCAACCTTAGAAGCAGCTTGATGGTATTTACATACTGTTCTGTTGTTAATATGGCTTAGTATCATCTCTTTACATCTAAAATTTCAAATTAAAATTGTATTCATGTTCATGTTGCAAATAACAGCTTTACTATCATGACAATTATGAGACATTGACTAAGTGACAGAGTCAAATGAAAGAAGCCATGACATGTGAAAGTGTCAAGTGACAGTGGAAATGACAAGTGAGATCAACATTGACATGTGGCAGTGTCAAGTGGCAATGGCCAGTGATAGCTGCAATGAAACTGATAATGTCAAGTGACAGTGACATCAGTAATAACAAGTGACAAAAGCAATAACAAGTGACAGTGTCATGTGACAACAGCCATGATTATATGACTGTTTCAGCCGCAATGATAATTGACATCAACAATGACAGTTGACAGTGTCATATGTCAGCAGTCATGACAAGTGTCAGCAGTCATGACAAGTGTCAGCAGTCATGACAAGTGTCAGCAGTCATGACAAGTGTCAGCAGTCATGACAAGTGTTAGCAGTCATGACAAGTGTCAGCAGTCATGACAAGTGTTAGCAGTCATGACAAGTGTTAGCAGTTATGACAAGTGTCAGCAGTCTGATAAGTGAAAGCTATTTGCAAAAAGAACAACAAACCAACAGTTCAATAGCTCATAGATTAAAAATCAAGAATTCACACGTGTGTCTGAATCTATCTCAGTCAGTGCATTGTATACATGAATTGCCATTTCCCTATTATTTGAGTCAACCTAGCAGGAGATGGCCCACACCATCCAGTAATGATCAGGCCTAGGACAAGCTGGTACAAAAGATCCTTAAGATATACAAATTATTTTGATTTTAGTTTTCCCTACCTATCCATTAGTTGTTTAAAGCCTAAAACACAGGCTGCAGCTAAGATAGAACCTGCTTCTTCTTCTGGTATTACTATATCATCACTATATAGACTGCCTAGAGCTATAGCCATTGCTGAAATATAATAAACATCACTATATAGACTGCCTGGAGCTATAGCCATTGCTGGAATATAATAAACATCACTATATAGACTGCCTAGAGCTATAGCCATTGCTGGAATATAATAAACATCACTATATAGACTACCTAGAGTTATAGCCATTGCTGAAATATAATAAACATCTCTATATAGACTACCTAGAGCTATAGCCATTGCTGAAATATAATAAACATCACTATATAGACTACCTAGAGCTATAGCCATTGCTGGAATATAATAAACATCACTATATAGACTACCTAGAGCTATAGCCATTGCTGGAATATAATAAACATCACTATATAGACTGCCTAGAGTTATAGCCATTGCTGAAATATAATAAACATCTCTATATAGACTACCTAGAGCTATAGCCATTGCTGAAATATAATAAACATCACTATATAGACTGCCTAGAGCTATAGCCATTGCTGGAATACAATAAACATCACTATATAGACTACCTAGAGCTATAGCCATTGCTGGAATATAATAAACATCACTATATAGACTACCTAGAGTTATAGCCATTGCTGGAATATAATAAACATCACTATATAGACTACCTAGAGTTATAGCCATTGCTGAAATATAATAAACATCTCTATATAGACTACCTAGAGCTATAGCCATTGCTGAAATATAATAAACATCACTATATAGACTGCCTAGAGCTATAGCCATTGCTGGAATACAATAAACATCACTATATAGACTACCTAGAGCTATAGCCATTGCTGGAATATAATAAAGATCACTATATAGACTACCTAGAGCTATAGCCATTGCTGGAATATAATAAACATCACTATATAGACTACCTACAGCTATAGCCATTGCTGAAATATAATAAACATCTCTATATAGGCTGCCTAGAGCTATAGCCATTGCTGAAATATAATAAACATCACTATATAGACTACCTGGAGCTATAGCCATTGCTGGAATATAATAAACATCACTATATAGACTGCCTAGAACTATAGCCATTGCTGGAATATAATAAACATCACTATATAGACTACCTGGAGCTATAGCCATTGCTGAAATATAATAAACATCTCTATATAGACTACCTAGAGCTATAGCCATTGCTGAAATATAATAAACATCACTATATAGACTACCTGGAGCTATAGCCATTGCTGGAATATAATAAACATCACTATATAGACTACCTAGAGTTATAGCCATTGCTGAAATATAATAAACATCACTATATAGACTACCTAGAGCTATAGCCATTGCTGAAATATAATAAACATCACTATATAGACTACCTAGAGCTATAGCCATTGCTGAAATATAATAAACATCACTATATAGACTACCTAGAGCTATAGCCATTGCTGGAATATAATAAACATCACTATATAGACTGCCTAGAGTTATAGCCATTGCTGAAATATAATAAACATCTCTATATAGACTACCTAGAGCTATAGCCATTGCTGAAATATAATAAACATCACTATATAGACTGCCTAGAGCTATAGCCATTGCTGGAATACAATAAACATCACTATATAGACTACCTAGAGCTATAGCCATTGCTGGAATATAATAAACATCACTATATAGACTACCTAGAGTTATAGCCATTGCTGGAATATAATAAACATCACTATATAGACTACCTAGAGTTATAGCCATTGCTGAAATATAATAAACATCTCTATATAGACTACCTAGAGCTATAGCCATTGCTGAAATATAATAAACATCACTATATAGACTGCCTAGAGCTATAGCCATTGCTGGAATACAATAAACATCACTATATAGACTACCTAGAGCTATAGCCATTGCTGGAATATAATAAACATCACTATATAGACTGCCTAGAGTTATAGCCATTGCTGAAATATAATAAACATCTCTATATAGACTACCTAGAGCTATAGCCATTGCTGAAATATAATAAACATCACTATATAGACTACCTAGAGCTATAGCCATTGCTGAAATATAATAAACATCACTATATAGACTACCTAGAGCTATAGCCATTGCTGGAATATAATAAACATCACTATATAGACTGCCTAGAGTTATAAACATTGCTGAAATATAATAAACATCTCTATATAGACTACCTAGAGCTATAGCCATTGCTGGAATATAATGAACATCACTATATAGACTACCTGGAGCTATAGCCATTGCTGGAATATAATAAACATCACTATATAGACTACCTACAGCTATAGCCATTGCTGAAATATAATAAACATCTCTATATAGGCTGCCTAGAGCTATAGCCATTGCTGAAATATAATAAACATCACTATATAGACTACCTGGAGCTATAGCCATTGCTGGAATATAATAAACATCACTATATAGACTGCCTAGAACTATAGCCATTGCTGGAATATAATAAACATCACTATATAGACTACCTGGAGCTATAGCCATTGCTGAAATATAATAAACATCTCTATATAGACTACCTAGAGCTATAGCCATTGCTGAAATATAATAAACATCACTATATAGACTACCTGGAGCTATAGCCATTGCTGGAATATAATAAACATCACTATATAGACTACCTAGAGTTATAGCCATTGCTGGAATATAATAAACATCACTATATAGACTACCTAGAGCTATAGCCATTGCTGAAATATAATAAACATCACTATATAGACTACCTGGAGCTATAGCCATTGCTGAAATATAATAAACATCACTATATAGACAACCTGGAGCTATAGCCATTGCTGGAATATGATGAACATCACTGTATAGACTGCCTAGAGTTATAGCCATTGCTGAAATATAATAAACATCTCTATATAGACTGCCTAGAGTTATAGCCATTGCTGAAATATAATAAACATCACTATATAGACTACCTGGAGTTATAGCCATTGCTGGAATATAATGAACATCACTATATAGACTACCTAGAGCTATAGCCGGGAAAAATGAACAAGGTGTTTAAAGAATATATTAAACCAATCAGGTTAAATATCATCTTTGGATAAAATGACTACTGAACGAACCAGGCTTGTGAATAACGAGTTGATTTTAATGTCAGCAAGGCAAGATACTTTCACTCTTCTGAAACATATGATGCCACACAGTGGCTGGGTTCTTTAACTCATGATCCTTTTCAGAGAATCCACATAGCTAATATTTGGTAAGCTTACATTTATTTTGAAATAAAATCAGTCCTACCTCTTCGAGTGACATTAATATCAGTTATATTAAGAGTTATAATCAATACAGTATTGCCCCGTTTCTTATTCTGGATTCCAAGGTCTGTAGGATGTTCTGTACCAGTTCCATTGCCCTCTACTTTCACTTTGTTGTTCTTATGATAAACACTATCTGATAGGAATTCATCCAGGCCCTCAGTTGAGCTGTTTTTGTGATATACCTGAGTTTTGTCTTGGTTTGCTGCCTGTAATAACTGAGTCAATGTCTCAGACTTCCTGATAAATGGTCGGTGTAATTCCCATTCTGTTTTTAAACACTTCAATACAATATCTACAAAATAAAACAGTTTTGATATATTTTGATTCAAATGTGAAATCACAGGCATATTTGGCTGATTGTTTGACTTTCCTTCTATTTATGTCAAACATTAGAGTTTACTAACAGTTTATTGAATATATAATCCATTATCAGGATTGAAATTCAGGGCCAAACTATTTGAATAATGAGCAAAGTAAGCAGACTCATTGTTCAGGAGTGCAGTAGAAGAATGCAAGCCAATTTGAAGTAATTGTAAAAAAATCAGAAAACCTGTTTACAATCCCTTTAACATGATATGCAATGTTTGCTAGATTTTTTTAACATGTTACTGTGTTCATTGTCATCATAAGGTTAGTTGAATTGGACATGAGGGGTGGGGGTTATAATTCATATTATAGGAGTGTAGCATAAGGAACTCAACTAATAATACCGGTTTGCACATATTCTATGTTCTGCATGATGACTAGAGGCAATTCTGTTAAGATTGTGATTTGCCACCTTTGTAAAGGCCAGACATCCCAGATTTGTTTAAAGATTCTCAATTCTAAATGTTAGTTCAATGACTGTGACTATGTTAAAGATGCGTTTCCTTATTTTTTGGTGTCAAAGTAAGCAAACTATTCGATTCGATTCAATGAATTAATTATGGACATGTGAGAAAACTGCTATGTTTCCAAGTCATTTGAACACCTCTACTTTCTATTCTACTAGTATTAGCATTTTCATTTTCGTAAATGAAAATAAGGGAACCCATCTTTGAAGGTAATTTGTAAGAAATGTTGGACATCTAAACGACAGTCGCATTTTATAATTGAGTAAATTCATAAAACCAACTAAATCATAGAAGGTAAATCTGAATTTATTGTTTAATTGCCTGGCCAAGAAATCAGGTAAAGAAACTTTGCATTATTTTATAAAAATAAATCAGTGCATAACCGTTCTAAGTGGCGGGTGTTTACACAATGATGATGACCTGTGCAAAACACTATAACACCCATATAATTCACAGATTTAAAGATGGGTTCCCTTATATGCTGATACTGATATGAATAGAAAGTAGAGGTGTTTAAATGACTTGGAAAAAAACCAGTTTGTCTCACATGTCCATAATTAATTCCTCATTAGCCTAATTAGAAGAGGATTACCAGCAGAATTCAAATGAGTGACCGATCAAGAAAGGTCAAAAAGTCTTTTTTTGTTTATCCAGACTGTACATACATGGATATTTATGATTGGTTAAAACTCTTAATTATATACAATAAGAACATAATGATATGATTAAGAATACATGATAATTCATTAGAAACACCAATTAATAAAAAGTTTGCTTAATTTGACACTAAAAAAATACAGAAACCATCTTTAAAAGTGCTAAAATTACATTAAAAAAATTTGTTTGCTTAGAGTAATTCACAATGAAAAGATCTTGTGTGGCTTGCGCAATCCATTAAGATTAGATGAGTTCGCTGGTTCAATGGTACAAATTTAGTATGTTAATTATGTAAATAACCACACCCTTCAAACATATATTGTGCTATTGAAAAACTTTGTATATCTAATTGCCTTGCTTACCATATTCTCCCAGTTTCTCTGCATCTGTAGTAATTGAGGTTGAAAAGATTTCAGTTTAAAGGGATTGTAAAGAGATTTTCTAAAAAAAATTCTGTGTATTGGGGATACTGATAACCTCAATTTGCACCACTCCAATTTTCAGTGAGACATCTGTGGAGCAAGCAATTCAATAACAAAAAGATATTTGATGAAGTCACTAAAAGCAAGGTATGCTTTATAACATTAGGGCCTTCGTAATTAGTGACTTCATCCATAGACATCTGATTGAAAATTGGAATGGTGAAAATTGCTGTTATGAGAAAACATTATTTAGAAAACCTCTTTACAATCCCTTTAAGTCTAGAGGTATTATATTATGAATGCAGTATCACAATTCAAATATTAACATAACTATTAAAGGGATTGTAGGTTTTTCTCCATTTTGGTGGGAGGTTGTAACTTTGCTTTGAGAAATTTAGCAAAGCTAAGCTTAATTTAGGAAAGATGAAAAGTTTTTGATATAACTTTGATAAAAGTTTCATCATTAGTCTGCAAAACATGAACTAAAGAAATTACCTGGGCGTGTAGCTCCTAAAGATTTCTTGGAATGATACATAAATAAATCTCTTGGTGTTGCATTGGCAGGTGTTTTGGGCTTTTCCATTCCAAAAACAGGCATCCTGTAAATACAGAGTATATCTATAATTATGACTCAAAGAACTTCAAATTTTGAATTGTAGAATATTCATTGTTTAACATTGATTTGTATTGTATTGCACATTTAAGAGTGTTTTGATTGGTCTGCATAAATCATGACATTTTTAGTTGGTAATGGACCGAAAATTCACAAAATACAATTAGATCATGAAAGTAATAATTAAGTGCAGTAATCTGCAGAAAAATCATCACCCTTCATCAATTGATTTCTGTACCAATTTAAATTGAATACGTACGTGTGAGATCGCTCCATCACATTATTACTGGCAGGAGAGAACCGAGTTGAAGATTTTATCGGAAGCACTGATATGGAAGAATAATTGGCACATACTGGACGATAGGGTCTATCCTCTGACATGCGATAGCTGTAGACTTGATTAATGTCCGTATTAGTGTTCATTAACTTTGGACTCTCAGCTGAAAGATAATTAAATATTACAGTTTAATGTCTACTGTTTCTTACCATTTAATATCATCATTAGTGAGTTGTCACCAAATTTGCATTGTGACTGACATTGAATGACACTTTTTGTAGAGAAATGCTTATGATTCTCAGGCATTTGAGCTGCCCTTCTGGTCATGTCCAGAATTACAAGCCCTGGTCAGAATGTTCTTCAAAAAAATTAAATTTGTGTGCTATTGTCCATACCTTTGAAACTCATTGCCAACTTTAACCCTCTTATTGGGCTAATGCATTGTGCAATGAGGGAAATTTATCAGCACTTACCTGAGATAATACTCATTATACTGTGGTTCAATGATGTATTGATAGCTTTAATAGCTTGTGTACTGCCTAGTAGATCACTATATAACGACTCTGGTAGTCTCCATCGATTAGTCTGACCAACTTGATTTCTCACACGACATCTTGCCGAAGTTGGAAACTGATTAAAACAAAAATTATCAACGAATACAGAGATTTCATCTAAAAAGTTTGGTTGTTTTATATTAAGATATATCAATTTACATTTCAAAAGTTCATTAATATCTTCTTTTTAAAAAGTTTCATTATTAATTTTATTTTTACATTATTTTTACATCATTTTTACCAGATTTTTCTTTAACAAAGTTTTCATATAAATGTTTTCTTTTCAGGCTGTTATTATATAAGCCTATTATATGAAAAAAAGAAAAAAACTGTAAATAATAAAATAGAAAGAAGAAATAAGAATACCACAAATCTAATGTATTACTTTTGGAATCATATCTCTTAGGTTTCTATTTCTATTTACTACAGACATCACATCTATTAGATTTTTTAAAAGTAAATGATTTACTACAGACATCACATCTATTAGATTTTTTTAAAAGTAAATGATTTACTACAGACATCACATCTATTAGATTTTTTAAAAGTAAATGATTTACTACAGACATCACATCTATTAGATTTTCTAAAACTAAATGATTTACTGCAGACATCGCATCTATTAAACTAAATGATTTACTACAGGCATCATCTAAGGACTTACTGAATTAAGTTTTTACAACTAAATGATTTACTACAAACATTCATTGTAGGTTTCTAAACGTTTTAGCCTACTACAGACATATCTATTAGGTTTAAAACTAAATGATTTACAAGTATACAATGTTACTTATTATCTTCAGTTTTCAGTTGGTATTGCTAAATGCTCATTGGCCTTCATTGTAAAATTCATATTCAATGGGTTTTAAAAACTAAAACTAAGGACATTATATTCATAAAGCTTCCTAAATTAAAATATCTATTTCTGAAAACATCATAATTATTAGATTTGAACATTTTTCAATATTTCTCAAATACTTTCTAATAAAATAACACTTATAAAGTGTCTAAAACTGAATAATTCATAGACATCATGTTTCAAAAAAGACATTACTTTATGATCTACAACATATTTTCACTTTACTGATCGACTAATGTGAATATAAGAGATTAAAATTATAGTCTGTTCTAATAAGTTGTACTCGGTTTTAGTCATCCTTGCGACACTCATATTGATATATAATCCGTTACTGAACTCTTATTAACGTACGTGAATTTGATGAACTCGAAATCAAATAATTTTTTAATCAAATATTGATTGATGTCATTGACCTCCAGCATATAAATGAGAGTTGGATCCAAGTTTAGTCATTACAAAATGGCAAATGCACAAGTTAATATCAGATTTATTCACGCGGAGGCAGACACTTGATCTATTCTGGATATAAGTACAGAGTGAAGAGTACAAAAGAAGACCACATCCATTGAAGGTATTGCACCGGGAGGATGTTCTTCGACATTTTACACCGTCGCCAATGTTCTTCGCTCTTCTAGAGACATCCATAATCACCCCAGAGACGACATTGGACTGCAAGCAGAAGAGTTCCTGGCCAAGTTGAAAACCAAAGTCTGATGCGATTCTAGACCAATCCAAGCAATTTACAACGAGGAAGTTGACAGTAAGTAATATGTCCTTATTCTGTAGATGAATATTATATTTGATATAGTAAGAATAGTAACTGAATAAATTACATGATTAAATTTATTGCCAGCACATAGAAATACAACTTAAATATAAATCCATGTTTCAAATTATTATCATTTGTTTTGTAGAACTTCGATCTGAGGTCAGAGATGTTGTCCCATCAGTACCTACATTTTATGGAGCACATTCAAGCCTCTACTGATCCAGATCCACACTGATTCCCACACTACCACACCAACGCCATGCCATCGAACTTCCAGATATGTTCAGAAAGACAGCCACGATCGACGATTTCCTCCTACATGCTTCAGACGACAACAGTATCCTCATCTTTTCTACCACAGAAAATCTCTGCCACCTTGCCGCCACAGATGTCTACTATTGTGATGGAACATTTAGCATGTGTCCAAAATTGTATTACCAGATTTATACAGTCCACGCTTTTGTTGAGAGAAAGATGCACTCAAAATTATCCAAAAATTCTGCAAGCCATCCGAATCTTTTCACGTTTATAGAGATAAAAAAAAAAGAACAAACAGTCACAGAAGTTATCATTTCACAACTACAGGCTGGTGGTGCAAAACGACCCAGAAAGAGGAGGTACAGAGCCCTTGACGAACGACTAAATGTACTTAAAGCCAACTTCCTCAATAATACCTTAAGTCCTGTACAGTATCAAGTTGCTGACCTGGTTGGTGATACAGAACTTTAACATTATAAGCTATTTTGTAGTATATTAAAAATATATTAAACATACATTTACCGAGTTTGTTTTTATGTTTTATAGGAAAGAGACTATAGTTTTAATCCTATTGTTTATCGGATCATCATGCTTCAGTAGGTTTAATACTAGAACAATAGCGATCAGCAAAGTGAGAACCCCTACTATATCTATCTACTACAGATACTAGCTATGAATGATATTGCTAATGCTATTGCATTGTTAAGCTAGTGCAAAACTGACCAAAAACAAAAGTTGTGTTTATAGTATTTCAATAGTAGCTCTTAAAGCGATTTACTACAGCAATCACATTTATTAGATATTGCTAATTGATTAAGGCTACAACATCATATTCATTAGATAAGCTTATTGCTAAATGATTTACAACAGACATTATATATATTAGGCTTACATTGCTAAATGATTTACAACAGACATTATATATATTAGGCTTACATTGCTAAATGATTTACAACAGACATTATATATATCAGGTTTCTATTGCCCAATGATTTACCACAAACATCATATTTATTAGATATTACTAAATGATTTACTACAGACATCATATTTATCAGGTTTCTATTGCTAAATGATTTACTGCAAACATTATATCAATAAAATACCAAGATATATATTTATCAGGTTTCTATTGCCCAATGATTTACCACAAACATCATATTTATTAGATATTACTAAATGATTTACTACAGACAAAATATTTATTATGTTTCTATTGCTAAATGATTTACCACAAACATCATAATTATTAGATATAACTAAATGATTTACAACAGACATCATATTTATCAGGTTTCTATTGCCCAATGATTTACCACGAACATCATATTTATTAGATATTACTAAATGATTTACTACAGACATCATATTTATTAGTTTTCTATTGCTAAATGATTTACTACAGACATCATATTTATTAGGTATTTATTGCCCAATGATTTACTACAGACATCATATTTATTAGGTTTCTATTGCTAAATGATTTACTACAGACATCATATTTATTAGGTATTTATTGCGCAATGATTTACCACAAACATCATAATTATTAAATATTACTAAATGATTTACAACAGACATCATATTTATTAGATATTGCTAAATGATTTACAACAGACATCATATTTATTAGATATTACTAAATGATTTACTACAGACATCATATTTATTAGTTTTCTATTGCTAAATGATTTACTACAGACATCATATTTATTAGATATTGCTGAATGATTACTACAGACATCATATTTATTAGATATTGCTAAATGATTTACTGCAAACATTATATCAATAAAACACCAAGATAATCTATTAGGTTTCTATTGCTAAATGATTTACTGCAGACATCATATTATCTATTAGATATTGCTAAATGATTACTACAGACATCATATTTATTAGGTTTCTATTGCTAAATGATTTACTGCAAACATTATATCAATAAAACACCAAGATAATCTATTAGCTTTCTATTGCTAAATGATTTACTGCAGACATCATATTATCTATTAGATATTGCTAAATGATTACTACAGACATCATATTTATTAGGTTTCTATTGCTAAATGATTTACTGCAAACATTATATCAATAAAATACCAAGATATATATTTATTAGGTTTCTATTGCTTAATGATTTACTGCAGACATCATATCTATTAGGTTTCTATAGCTAAATGATTTACTACAGACATCATATTTATTAGGTTTCTATTGCTAAATGATTTACTACAGACATCATATCTATTAGGTTTCTATTGCCCAATGATTTACCACAAACATCATATTTATTAGATATTGCTAAAGCGATTACTACAGACATCATATTTATTAGATATTGCTAATTGATTAAGGCTACCACATCATATTCATCATAAGCTTATTGCTAAATGATTTACAACAGACATTATATATATTAGGCTTACATTGCTAAATGATTTACAACAGACATCATATCTATCAGGTTTCTATTGCCCAATGATTTACCACAAACATCATATTTATTAGATATTGCTAAATGATTACTACAGACATCATATTTATTAGATATTACTAAATGATTTACTACAGACAAAATATCTATTATGTTTCTATTGCTAAATGATTTACCACAAACATCATAATTATTAGATATAACTAAATGATTTACAACAGACATCATATTTATCAGGTTTCTATTGCCCAATGATTTACCACGAACATCATATTTATTAGATATTACTAAATGATTTACTACAGACATCATATTTATTAGGTATTTATTGCCCAATGATTTACTACAGACATCATATTTATTAGGTTTCTATTGCTAAATGATTTACTACAGACATCATATTTATTAGGTATTTATTGCGCAATGATTTACCACAAACATCATAATTATTAGATATTACTAAATGATTTACAACAGACATCATATTTATCAGGTTTCTATTGCCCAATGATTTACCACGAACATCATATTTATTAGATATTACTCAATGATTTACTACAGACATCATATTTATTAGTTTTCTATTGCTAAATGATTTACTACAGACATCATATTTATTAGGTATTTATTGCCCAATAGTTTACTACAGACATCATATTTATTAGGTATCTATTGCTAAATGATTTACTACAGACATCATATTTATTAGGTATTTATTGCCCAATGATTTACTACAGACATCATATTTATTAGTTTTCTATTGCTAAATGATTTACTATACAGACATCATATTTATTAGATATTGCTAAATGATTACTACAGACATCATATTTATTAGGTTTCTATTGCTAAATGATTTACTGCAAACATTATATCAATTAAACACCAAGATAATCTATTAGGTTTCTATTGCTAAATGATTTACTGCAGACATCATATCTATTAGATATTGCTAAATGATTACTACAGACATCATATTTATCAGACATAGACATCATATCTATTAGGTTTCTATAGCTAAATGATTTACTACAGACATCATATTTATTAGGTTTCTATTGCTAAATGATTTACTACAGACATCATATCTATTAGGTATTTATTTCCCAATGATTTACAACAGACATCATATTTATTAGCTTTCTACTGCTAGTATTTATTAGATTCTCCAACTTACCCTGATAGATAAACCAACTGTAAGTAGTGAAGTGAGGTATATTTCAACTAGTTGAACTGTAATTTTGACATTTTTATACATAAGTCTTATTGAAGGACATAATTCATTGTTTTATTACTGAACTGATAAGCTAATATAAAACCGATGCAGAGTGTTCTATATTGACATATGATTTTACTTGACATAAAATGTTAATAATAATAGTGATTCTTAGTACATTATACAGTGGTGTAACCTACTTTCGTGGATATAAGGATTCAACACCGAATTTCGTAAAAGTTAAAGAAACAAATTTTTTTTTTTATGTCTTAGATGTTTCCTCAGATGTTCTACAAAATAATTAAAATTGTTTTATTTCGATTTTCTTTATGAATCCTTCACTTTGACCCATATTTCATCAGCAACCAACTCGGCAACGTCTGCAGAATGCGTCACATATTTTCGTGTACAATGATTGATCTATAAATAAGTCTAGAAAAACACGTTGTATGGATACCGGGTGGTGTACTTAACTTCTCTTAGTATTTATCTTTAATATCAATTCATTATAACTAGTGACAATTCCTTCAAAGAACCACGATTTTAAAAAAAAATATTGACAAAATAAGATACGCAGAGTGATATATTGCTAAAAGTCACTGAAACAACATAAGAATATGGTCCACTTTTTGTTCCATAGAAATTTTCTGCTGACACTTAATCCGCTAGTTGATCATGTGACTTCATTCGTTGGACTACATTCTAGCAGACAACACTTGGAATTCCAATTACTGCCTGGGATTATAAGGAAATTCGGCTGATAAAAAATGGTGACATTTGGTAATAACTGAAATCTGCCATTTTGTATTTTACCTTGCTTGAAACTACTGGATTCATTCTACTAGATGATATTGTACAGAAAACCCATGTTTATCAAAACAAGCAAATGCGGAGGTCACGTGAGGTCACACATGTAAATTATTCATCCTTTCCGGAAATCCACGAAAAATAGGTTTCCACGAAATTAGGTTACTTGACTGTATATCTTAACAAAAATGTTTTTCAACACCACCCTAGTATATATCTAGAAGATCTCTTTATTTGACACCATGGCCAGTGCTTTCATAGAGTTTTTAGGAATGTCTTCACTCTTAATATTAATATATTTATATTAATATATATTATTACTTATTTTCAATTGTAATAATTATTCATTCTTCACTAAATACTGACAAACAATAATTGTACAGTACTGAGTTTATTGTAAAGATATTTATTCACATCCAGGGACAAATTCAAAATTTAAACAGGAGCAGTCCACAGATAGAATAAATAGTAATCAAACTATTACAAACTTGTTTAGCCTACATTGTTTAACGCTACCTAAACATCATTCATTCATGTTTTTTTAATTGTACCTCAATGTGCAAAAATATAGATCTTTGCTTGACAAGAGATGTTTATTGATCAACAGACTTAAGAAGAATAAGATGTGAGACTTGAGATGAGATGAGACTTCAATGAACTATAACCGTGTACCCTCACATTACTGTTTTATTTTAAACACGTATGTAAATACTATAGGTCACCAACCCCTTCTATCAAGTGACAGAAACAAATAATGTAACTACACATCATACATGAGAAAAATGTGGCTCACCTTTGGTGGAACTCTACCATCAACAATGACACCAGATAAGGCTGTATAAGGTGCATCTTTAATATATCTAGGATGAATATAACAGTTTATATATGGAATGCATTTAAAAAGAAAATGGCAACTTTTTATTTTTTTAAAACTATATTTACAGTAAATCTAAGCTACATGATGAAATATATTGACCAAAGCATTTTAAGGATACGGTAATGATTGAATTTTATATTACTTTTTTCATACCAGTGCCTTTTTTTATTTTGAATAATCAAACCTTGTTATTTATACAAATAGATCTAAAACAGTGTACAGAAAATAGGCCTAACAGTGAAGTAAAACAGAAATCTTTACTAGGCTCTCTAGGCCTACAGTAGGCTACAGTCAAAATTTTGTCAGCAATGAGTTCAATGACGTTCTGAGTCACTCACTGCTCAGTCAGTCAGTTACAGATATTTATAAATTTGATAATCAAAAAGTAAAAAGAAATATTTCTGTGAATACAAATTGTAAAGTACAATTACCTTGGATAAGCTTGAACAGTATTTGGTACTTTTGGTGGAATTGTTGGCAAATAAGATGAAGAAATCTTAGAATTTGGGAGAAAAATTCCAGATATTGACTCTGCAGCCATGTCGAAAAGTCAAGGGACTTGTCACAGCCACGATGTAAATAATCTTCTTGGGCGATAGGAAATAGTCCAAAACTACTTGAAAATTTATGTGTGTTATCCTGCAATGACAATAAACTTTGAATAATATCCCAAAAATGTTCAATAGAATACTTGCTGATTCTACGAAATAATTCTTCCAAACGAGTAAGCAAAAGTTTTGGATAAAGCCCAACGAATTAATATCCGTTGCTAAGTTAAATTCGTCTGCTCGTGCTCAGCCATTCACCAACCCGGATTATCAATTTTAGCCTGAAATCCGCTTAAAATAATTATGTAGGAGATTTTCGGCTCCGAGATTTGTAAATCTGATCATTACTGAGTTAACTGTTACTTATAATACGGTACATTTCATATCATTGTCCAACAAAAGCCAATATAAACTCTTGACATAGAAACATTAAAGGTCAACTCTACTTTCACTTTGTATATATTTATAACCTTGACCTTGCTCAACCTTCAAGTTGAAGGTCGGAAAAATGGCGACTGCTATACAAGTTTTACGCTGCTGTACCAGGGGTAATTTTACTGATTTTTGTAGGGTTAAGAGTAGCATGTCCACTTTCAAAGCTGCCCAGTAAATGAATACTACTTTGTCTTACTCTAAACTGAAATAATTGAATGATGGATGATTGCAAGGTCATACAATATCCAATGAAATCAAAAGAGAGTCGAGAAAAATGACAACTTCACTTTCAGTCGTTACGAAACCATCGAAATCATACTGGATCTTAACAACAGCAGATCAGTCCATTCGTCCAATGCGTCTATTCTGCTCACTAAATAAATGTAACTATTCTTCATTGGCAAGTTGGTTAGCTTTCTTGGACTTCCCTACACTAAACTCTAAAGTAGACTGAGACATTAGACTGATTTAGATAGATAAATTTCATTTTCCGTACCGGTACCGTACTTTTATTGTTTGAGTAAGCTAAAAAATAGTAGTCATTTAATTACATCATTAATGAAAGTTAAAAAAAAAAAAGCTTTTGATTTGAACCATAGAGTTTGTGTCTAATAGGTATATGATGAAGAACTAAGTAATGAGCAGTTATGTCCACTTCATTCAATTTAGTCTCAATGAGTAGACGTACCATTTATATCTCTTACAGGCTCAGGATTGGTAGTACAGTCAGCTTTATTACGAAATGCAACAAATGGCCACCAGACTATTTCTAAAAAAGTTTTTAGTTCAAGCCCTGTCTTGACAAATTATTTTGCTGCAAGAAGAGGACCATTTACTCCAGGTGAAAAAAAAATTATTAGATTTTTTTTCTTTATTTACTTTTCGCTTGCGATTCCAAAAACCCCAAGTGTGCAATTTTTTGTTGTAGATGATGTATTCAAGTATCAGAAGTCTCTCAAGAATGCTGTCATAACAGCACTTTGACTGCTGTTGATAATTGCCTAGGGTGTCACTATGTGATTTTAATAAAACTTGGAAAAACATTTTAGGGATAAGATCATGAAAAATAGAAACGATATTTAACTGGTCTTATTTTTTTTTCAAATTGTTGCCATCTTATATTTATATTGGAATATATAACGTCTATGTAGATAATTTCACATGGCTTAACCCAGTTTTCATTTTAAAATTTCTAAACCCAGAAAATTTACAAATTTCAGAGGAGAAGAAAGGAAAAGGTCACCTGATGTCAGCCTCAACTCACTGGAAGGTAGAAAGAGTTCTGATGTTATCCATGGTACCAGTATTACCAGCTGCATTATTTATTCAATCTCCAGTTATAGACCATCTTATGACTTCTGTTGTCTTCTTACATGGATTCTGGTAGGTATTTTAATATTATTGCTAGATATAATCCATAGTAAGTCAAGTATCTCATTTAGCAATACAAGGGGTTACGCTAAGTTGGTTTACTAGCTTGGACTTTGTGGTATTTACATCACCATGCAAGGGCTAGAATTTCAAAGATTGGACATATATATATATATAAAAAATATAAGTTGTTGAAACATTAGACTTGTGCTTGAGCATTTATACTTTTTGGAAGGTAAGGCATTCTCATTATTACAGAACCTGTGTCACAACTTGGTTATCAGCTTGGCATCTTTGTAGATGATATTGTTGTATATTGCTTATTACGGACGAATAACACAAACTCTGGCTTGTAATTTGTCAATGAATATCAAGCTTATGTCAACCATCTTCATATTTGTTTGTTTGTTTCAGGGGTATGGAAGGTGTGTTGACTGATTATCTCTATAAATTTGCACCATGGTTAAAACAGCTATGGTATACTATCAGCATCATTGCCTTTGCTGGTCTTGTCAACTTCAACTATAACGATGTAGGAATCTGTAAGGCTGTTTCTATGTTATGGTCTTTATAATCCACTGCCAATCGTGAAATATTGATGCAATGTGAACTCAAAAACTTTGTTGACCAATTATAGTAAATGTTTCAAACTTAATGATGGATTGATAGTGACTTGAAAACTTGATTTTTTTTTCGAATTTTTGACATATATCAAAAAATAAATTGTTAAAGTGAAAAAGCTTTTTTAAAAGTATGGAAAACGTATTTGAACAATGAAAAAATAATTATTTATTTCTGAATTTTGGACGAATCCACAAATTATCAAAAATTCAATTGTGAAAGTGAATCTATCATGGAATGGAAAACCTAACCATAAGTAGTGCAAGTAGTTATTTTCTGTCTATCCTGCCTGGACTTTTAAGGGATATCTTGCGATGTGAGTAAACAACAAAGCCAGATTTATATAAGAATGTTAAGTTTCATATTAAAATGTATAATTGATTGTTTTCTTTTATTCCAAAGATATAATTTGTATGTTGGAGACACAGTGACTAAGTGAGTGTTGTTCTCTTACCTGAGGGTCCTAGCTGACATGCACAAAATGTTGTGTCATTCGAATGAGACAATGTACGAAGGTCGGATGTGCACATTTTAAGTCTGTCTGAAGTTGCAATCACAATGAACAGGCTATTGTTGCTGTCATGGCCAATTTTCCCTCTTTGCACACTGCATGGCATTGCTTGCCTCAATAGCCCAGCGAGTTTTGCCCTCTTACTTGAGTGTCTTTGCTTGCATGGAAAAAGTGTCGCGTCATTCAAATGAGACAATGTACCAAGGTCGGATATGCTTTGCACCCTGCATTACATTGCTTGCCTCAATAGCCCAGCCAAGTACAGAAAAGTTGGAAGTAAGATTTCATTAGAAAATGCACAGGAGTCTGTGGTGTTAGGTAGCAGTTTGAAAATATGTATTGAAAATGATCTGAAATTTATTCATTTAACATAACTGGAAACTTAAAGCTGTTTGGAGATCAGCATTTGATAGGAGCTAAATTAAGTCTTGTCGAGCATTGCTGACATGTACACAAGGGACAAAACTCTGCTGAAAGATCTGAAAAGATCAACACTCCCACCTTTCAACTAAATGCTGGCCACTTTCTCAAAAAAAAAAAAAAACATCCATCAAAATTTATCACAATTGTCTACAACACAAATGTAAGAAATGTTGGGCCTTGACAAGATGGCTTTGTATTTTACAAATTGAAAACAAACATTGAAGAAGAAATTTTTTTTCTTTTGCAATTAATATTAAGGCACTTAACAAATGAAAATCATTTTCGATGCAGCAATTTTCAATTTCAAAACAATGTGCGTAGTTTTAATATTTAGACCACAATTAAAATGATACAAGTCTACATAGGGTTTAACTAAGAATCTTACCCACGTTATCATCATTCAGCATTGACTAAACTTTCTCTAAAATGGGAAATTATTCTTTAAGAATTTCTCAATCAAATGCCATTTTGACTGACAGCTAGCGTTCGGATCTAAGAAAGATGGATCTTATTAAGTAAAATTTCCTTGGTTAGGAATTTGGCACAGGCAGAGATTCAGTGGTGGCACCAGTTGGGGTACAGAGCAGGCATTTTCCACCCCCCTTTAGCAAACTGGTTTGTACCCCCAACTGTACCCACACTTTATATTTAAAAGGAAATTAATATATGAATTTTATGTATTTTAGAACCAAATTATGTCAGAATGCAACAAATCTTTCGAAAATTTTCTTGAGAGAACCCTCCACAGAGTTGCTGCATTTTGAATATAGCCTTAATAGTTTGTCCCCTCATTGAGTCAGTCTGCCCCCAATTTGTAACCCCAGAAAATCTACACTAAATGGTACAATATGCTATGGACATATTCAATCATATGGATCCAATGTTTCAGGTTTTTGACACTAAAATAAGTACTACATTTAAGCTTAACCTAACTGTTTGCCTGTTAGTAAAACAAAAAAAAACGAGACCTAGAAACAGAATATCCAAGAAAAGTGCGAATGCAACTCCATGAAATCTTTAAAGCTTTGAAAACAGACACACTTTGTCCTAATTATCACACAAAAAAACAAAACTGATTAACAAGAATGAATGATTAAGGAAACTTATGCATACCTTTATCTCATACCACTAGCTAATATTTCATGTCCTAATGGTAATTTTTTTCGACTGGATTTTGTAAAACTAGACCTTTATCATTACATAAACTTTTTAAGATCGTTCAGCTTTTTTGAAGCTGTTAGAAAACTACTGAACGGATTTAAGTAAAATAAATGCCTAATCATAGAGAAATTTGTCTCCTACATATTCTGTTATATAACTAATAATATCAAGCCACAATAAAGCCAAACACCAAACCTAGGTCAAACTGCTTAATTAACAATTGGTACTCTCCGTTTTTTAGTAACCCTTTTAAAACAAATTCAGTTTCATCAAGTAGATACATAGATGTCTATAGCATATTTTGGCAATATTTTAAGGTAATAAAAGAACTCATTTGGACCTAGCAATAAAATTATAATATCAATTATCAGTATTCAAGCCCTGTTGGATCTGGATGTGCATAAATATCCTTGACCAACTTTAAATCATATCACAAAATAATTTCAAAATAAAATGCTGGATTTTCGAGGACAGTCATACACTACATGAGTTGTCTCCCCACAATTAGTACAAGTACGAGTTTTCGGCGACCAACCATAGTCCTGTCTGGTGGGGCGAAATTGATAAGTAGGGGTTTTAGGAGGGGAAACTTGTTGTGCGAGAGGTGGGCTAGCAGGTTTACAATCTGTTGCCCCGGTAACCATGATGTCATCATCACTAAAGTCTGATTCCCATTCATCACTGTTGTCATAGTGACTACTTTTACATTCCACATTTGTAGTTTCTGAATTATCTCCCTTAGGTCCATTAGGTTTATCTGCTCTGGAAGAGTCACTGGAATTAAAACCAACTGTTTGTTTCTGGAACGAGAGGTTTTGGTCACTTACACGTGAAGGTTTATTTTCTGCCATTAAGATGTCTGTTGCTATGGAATGTAATGAAGTATTGTTACTTGAGCTTTTTGAGATTTTTTTCGGAGCTTTTGAATCCTTGTCTGAATTCAAACTAGGCCATTCTGATACATCTGTTGGCCTTCTGTATTTATTAGATTGGTTGTCAGGACGATTAGTTTGCTGCAGAGCTATTTTTGGTGGGAATTTTCTCATAGCCTCCATTTCAGCTCTTTCTTCCATTTGTCTGCGAGTTAACTTAGCTTGCTCTGGTAGATCACGACCATGGATGATTTTGGATGGTTTGAGAGGTACAGGCTTTGTTGAAGGTTTGGGTGTTAATGGATGACCTTTGGTAGTAGTTAAGTTAGTAGGCACTCTTTTTGGTGGTAAGAATTTACCTTGAGGCATAGAACGGTCTTTAGTTTTGTTACCATAAGGAACGAATTTCAGTTCTGATACTGGTTTGGATGGTGTTGATGATGGTTGCATAGCTGGCTTTGGTGATTGGTCAATTAAAGAAGAAAGTGTTCTGGAAGAAGAATTTGGTTGGTGATGAACCTCAGTGCTAGGAGATGAGATGGATTCTTCTGTCAGGCCATCTGCTGCAGGTTTGACCAACACTTTCAACTCTTCAGAAGATAGCTGCCGTCTGGCCTGGACATTTTTTCCCTTCAAAACTCCAGATTTTAATGTTTGTATTGCTAAATGTTTCAAGTGATCAGAATGAAGGCTTCCTGAATCTGGTTCCACATTGTCTTTTTTCACACAATCTGCCCATGAACCATATTTAGACTTTGATTTCTTTGAAGCAGATGATTTCTTTTTAAATAATGGAGTGAACAAATCTGCTGATTTCGAATGATCTTCTTTGGGATGTTTTCCATTTAATACATGTGGGTCAAAGGTCACACTCTCTGCAGATTCTTCCTCTCTAGTTGGCAAATCCTGGTCGTCATATTCTTGATCAGGATTGTGATGAACAGCCATTTTGGATTCATGTTCATTGAGTGCATCCTTATTTTCCTTTTTATATGGAGCTTCATTATCTCTTGTAGCTACTGGCGATTCAATGCCTTGACGACCAGATTTGGGTGATTTCAGCTGTTCCATTGATTGGTTAGTTTCTTGACTAGTATTACTTCTTGTTGCTAAGGGAGAGTTTGATCGACTGTGCCTCAATTCTTCCAATCGATAAATTTCTGAGAAACTTGAGATACGCTCTAAATTTGAGTTCCTTTGTTCCATGGAAGTGTCACAGCTTTGATTGAGATCTTGAGAATCTGTATTTTTTGAAAAACTTTCATCACCTTGATATTGTTGTTCTGATGTAACAGAATCTGAAATAAATTAAGAATTTTACACCATATTTGTCTTCATGTCATCAGGAAAGCATTGTTAACTTGTCTTCAAATTTATAGCTTTTACGTCTTAACTGAAATATTCACAACTATTATTACAGCCTTTGTTAGCCAATGGTCGAAACAGCAACATTAGCAAACTCTTTCTTGATTACCAACTGGCAGTGGATTTTTAGCTGGCATTACCTGTATCACAACAGGCCTTGGTTTATTGTTTCAACTGCTAAGTAGTGCCAGTAAGAGGAACTTTACACTTGATGGTTTCAAAATGTAAAAGCCCATGAGACCATGTAAGACAATAAATATAAATGTTTACCTCGAAGCCACCATTCATCTGGAACTTGTATATCATCAGCATTATCTTCAGTCTGTACACCACGTGATTCAAGTTCCAGTCTGTCTGTCTGTGTCATCATCTCTGATTTTAATACTGGTGTATCAACATAGCAAACTGAATCGGTTGCAGGTTTGGATTGTGATGAAAGTTTTAGGTTAATCTGCTGATGTACCAAACTGGATTTATATATACCAAATAACTTGGCTCTGTAGGCACTGAAATATAAAAAAATGGTACATTGATTATTTCATTGATTATAACAAAATTCCTTAAACCCTGATGGAGCTGGATTGGTTTATTTTAAACAGGTTAGACCTCTTCCAATTTTGGCTTCAAACAGCCGGTACAAAACTGGATATGTCCCATTCAAAATTAACTATATTTATTCTTTCTCCACCATTTTGAATTCTTCATTTTACTTTTTTCAAAAATAGAACTCATTCTGAACATGTTCCAAATTGTACCAACCTTCTTAAACCATCAGCTAGAAATTTCTCTTCTATCTGTTCAATATAATACTGATATTTATCTGGATACTCATCACTCAAGACTTCAGACACTAACAACCAGACACTTTCAAGACAATCGATATACAACTCACTTAAACTCTGGATTTCAGGCCCACCTTGCAAACCCTACAAACAAAATAATACATTTAAAATAATATGCAATTATTCTTTTAATAGGATTTAGATGCCTCTGATGAGCACACAAATACAACAGTATATAGGTTAAACATAATATGTAATGGCACGCTACTTTCATTTTATTTACGTTCACAAACAAAGCGTCATAACGCGTTTTGATTGGCTGAAATTTGCTATCAATACAGTAGGGTCAATTTTGATTGGACAATATTTAGCTATGAATACGTAATTTTTCTCACTTGTGTTACCACGGCCTCAAGGAAGTATAACAAATGGGGGTGACCTTTGGCCACGATGATCAATAATAGGCAATTTACTGTAGCTTCAGCATTGGGGAAACAGCATATAGGCTAAGCACTACTTATCTTATCAATAATAGGCAATTTACTGTAGCTTCAGCATTAGGAAACAGCATATAGGCTAAGTACTACTTATCTTATCAATAATAGGCAATTTACTGTAGCTTCAGCATTGGGAAACAGCATATAGGCTAAGCACTACTTATCTTATCAATAATAGGTAATTTACTGTAGCTTCAGCATTAGGAAACAGCATATAGGCTAAGTACTACTTATCTTATCAATAATAGGCAATTTACTGTAGCTTCAGCATTGGGAAACAGCATATAGGCTAAGCACTACTTATCTTATCAATAATAGGCATTTTACTGTAGCTTCAGCATTGGGAAACAGCATATAGGCTAAGCACTACTTATCTTATCAATAATAGGTAATTTACTGTAGCTTCAGCATTGGGAAACAGCATATAGGCTAAGCACTACTTATCTTATCAATAATAGGTAATTTACTGTAGCTTCAGCATTGGGAAACAGCATATAGGCTAAGCACTACTTATCTTATCAATAATAGGTAATTTACTGTAGCTTCAGCATTGGGAAACAGCATATAGGCTAAGCACTACTTATCTTATCAATAATAGGCATTTTACTGTAGCTTCAGCATTGGGAAACAGCATATAGGCTAAGCACTACTTATCTTATCAATAATAGGCATTTTACTGTAGCTTCAGCATTGGGAAACAGCATATAGGCTAAGCACTACTTATCTTATCAATAATAGGCATTTTACTGTAGCTTCAGCATTGGGAAACAGCATATAGGCTAAGCACTACTTATCTTATCAATAATAGGCATTTTACTGTAGCTTCAGCAATTCTCAAATTCTACTGTTGTTGGATCTATATGCTCTGCAAAATATTGTTATAGAAATGTTACAATACCTTTTTGTTGAATATAATCCATCTTTCAACAGTAGACAATATCAACTCCTGTATAGAACCAGATACACTGAAAAATTCAATATAGAAAGTTTACAGCTATAGTGACAACATAAAATATTTAATTTTATGTGAATTACAACACCCACAGATGTCTGACTGGAAATTTGAGTGATGCATATAGAAGCCATAAATCAGCCCAAATACACATGAAATCCTCTTTGCAACCCCTCTAAGATTTTTGATTGAAGGTTATACACTAGTAACATTCAACTATGAAGGGTGTCTTCTTGCATTTTCAAGTGTAGTCACAAGATACCCTAGTTCTTTTTGAGTGTTATATAATAATCAACCACACAAACTGAGCTGTGAAAATGTTATAGTATGTATATTTATAGACGTACCTGTCAGGCCAATAATTAGAAAGTTGTAATAGTTTAACTAGGACTATAGAGTAGTCTGTATGATATGTTTTACGAACAGGAAGTTTAAGATAGGCTTTACTTAATTTCTTTATTACATACTCCATACACGCACCAAATATATCACAATCTGAAACAATACATCATAGAGTTTAATATCTTTCTGTTCCAACCATCAAGTACCTGAATGAAATGTCAGTTTACCATTGATTTAGTTGAAATAATGAAATGAAATGGGAGTATTACATTTTTCTGTTTTCTACCATAATGGATTATTGAAATGAAATGGCAGATTTACATCCCTGAGTTCTCATCCTTCCAAATAAATTTGTGACCATATTAACCAACTACGACTTAGGTAATTTCCAATTTAGATGTCTGAAACCTGTGGAGCCTAGAAGTGCACCACAAAGGCAATATAATACAATGAAATAGTTTTCACCAACTATCACCAAGTGTATGTTCTCCCGTTTCTCTCTGCTGATGTGTAGGTGTAAACAAAGTGACTATACTTACGAGAGTACGAGTCTAAAATAGTCAGTAATTTCTGTGTATTTTGTTTATCAAGCACTGCTCGGTCTAATATAGTTTCTAAACATACAGATAACACATTGGCTTCACAACCATCATTTTCTACAACACAAATAAAACAATATAATAGAATTAGTATAGAGGAATTTATGTAGTATGACTAAGACTAGCTCAGAATAATTTAATTTTGAAGTTTTGAAAGTTCTGTATGTGTCAATGTTATTTTCAGCACTATCTATTGAAAATGTATCCGAGGGCGATTCACAACATAAGCAATCCATAGAACCATCACTCTCCATCACTAAGCACACTTCTTTAAACAAAGGTTCGGAATGCGTTTTAAAGTGTACATATGAGAATACTTGTCCAACTGTAGTAGGACGCAGGCTGAAACTAGGTCAGTTATCTGAAGATCATATTTTATGAAACATCAACATAATTTTTTAGGTTCTGTTTTAACATAGACATTTTAGACAAGTTTTGCATGAGACAATTTAGTAATTGAAAGTATAGAAGCCTGGCTGATTGACACCTGACCAACACATAAATTTCAATATGCTATAGGTATTTGACTCAATATATATTTCAGGTAGCAATACAAACCTGGAGGAACAATAGAATGTATTTTATCACAGACAATAACAGGATCTTCTTCATTCTCTATTGTCTTTAATACCTATAATCATAGTACATAATACTCAATAAATAACATATCATAGGTACGGAGCCCCTAAGACGGAATTTTCCATACTTTTATAAAATATTTTGTTTAAACAAAATAATTATTTTGTTAAAACGAAATATTTTATAAAAATGGAAAATTGTGCATTAGGGGCTCCATATATAGGTACATATCCTTTGTTCTGAGATCAGAGATGTTGGCAATTGTACATTGTTCAAAAATCTGCTTATAATTAATGTAACCATCAATATTTCACCAAATGACCCATAAAAGACTCCAAATAACTTACTTTTTCAATTTTCTTAGAGAATCTGTATTCAGCCTCTTCTGAATTTTCTAATTTAACTACAGGTTTAAAACTATCTTCAAGACTGTCAATTTAAGACAAAAAAACAGTAAATCTGTAAAGTTATCATGTTATCAACTATGCTGTAGCGCAATGGAGGTATATAAGGCAAGTCCCTCAGTTTTGAAACGACAGCCAAACTTTAGAAGTGTATTTTTAATCCTTCCTGTTTTTAACTTGAAATACACTCTGGCCTTCTTTAAACATAGACAAAATTATATACATTAAAATGCAAATAGAAAAGGTTAAATATTGTCATTTGAAAATCAAAAGAGAGGGAAGGAATTGGCATCAATATATCGTCAGAAATATTTACATTATACACTACATGTAGTTTATCTTGATTTGCTTTAAAATCTTTCTGAACTTACATTATTGCCTCTAAAATTTGCTGCCTAGAATTTAGTTTAGGACTGGATCTATTTGGTTGACTGGAACGATTTTCTGGAAATATAAATAAGAGATCATGTTTAGGAGCAGTGATTAATATGGCTAACAACATGGCTGTTAACGGTAATGTAACAAAAAGGATTCAGAAAGTATTCAAATATGCTATTTATTTATTAACTATATATCTTACTGAATGAGACAAAGTGAGGATTGCAAATCCAAATCAATGAGATTTCAGATAGCAGCTAAACTACAGTAAAAACTATAGTAAGAGACCACTCAAGGGAATAGTCCAAAAGAGTCTTTAAATGGAGGTGGTCTCCTAGGTAGAGAATTGGGTCAGAATAAACACAAAATTCATTTTGTTCAGATGGCCATTTATTGTGGTCGCATATTGAAGATGGTAGTTTTGTAAAGGTGGTTTCATAAGCAGATTTACTGTATCCTCAAAATTTATGGGCCTTCACTCTTAATCATTCATAAGCTACATTTTGTTGTTTTCTGTATATATTCAAGATGATTAGTCATTAGTTTCAATTGGGATCAGCATCATAATGAGTCAGATGATAAAAATTTGGACTGAAAGCATACCTTTTTGCTGAAATCTAGCTGGTTGTGTATATTTCTGTGGGGGTGGTTTTTGATAACGTGAGGGGTAGTGGGGTGTATATTGATGAGAATACTGAGCTGTAGGGGGTGGAGTAGGTTTTTTATCACTAGGTGGGAGTTTATATTGGGCTTTATTCATTGGACTAATTGACTCTATCTGTGACTTGATATTATCATAAACATCAGGTGGTTGAGATGTATCAGGTGTACCAATACTCAGATCTGACCTTCCTACAAAATAGTAACACATTATAATTTATTATTTGATGCTCAAATTATAATTCAGCCATAACAGCCATCTTAAAATGATTGAAAAGAGTTTTGTGATAGTTTATGTGTGTCCTTTGAAACTAAATACTGTAAATAAGCTAAAGGAATTAAATATTATTTAAGATAGTGAGATAGTGATGTCATAAACGTTGAATTTGAGCGGAATTGCAAGAACCACAGACGTCTAGATGGCAATTTGAATCGATACTTCTGTGTCGCCTATAAACAGGCTGTACATGACCTTTACTGCTGATGCTTGGGTAAAAAATTTTTATACAGTATATGAAGTTGAATGTCTTATATAGCTCAATGTGGTAGAAAGTTGGATTTTAAGATTTTAACCATTTTATCAACAGAAAGAAAGGGTGCCTGTTACCCAAAACGTTTCATGGAATTAAAAACTTCTTATAATCAACATCTCTGCTTTAGTCACTTATTGGGGGAATATTTACTGGAATAGTTCACTTTTTACGGATTTCCCTACGCATCATTGAGATCCTGACTGGGGAGATCTTATACAGAATTCTTCCATTCGCTACACAACCAAGACAAGCTGTTTTCATGTCGTCCCTCTATATATTTCATAAACAAGTAAAATACCAACCCCAGTTAATGATGTCTTTAGATTCATCTTTCTCAAGTTCTTCATAAATCTGTTCCATATTATCTACAACTTCTGTTTTAGTTGTTACTCTTCTTTCTACATCTCGTACTTCCTGTTTATTAGTTAAACATATTATTATAATAAATATTCTAATACTTCAGGGTAACAGTACATGTTTGGTAGTTTTTCATAATTCACTTAGCAATTAAGCAGTAGAGAGCATGGTCCATACTCAAAAATAGAATTTAACATTAAGAAATACCAGAAAAAATTGATAGTTTTTTTGTGAAATGTGGGGAAACTTTTCTTAAATCTATTAGTTATCCTACATCATTTTAACAGATAGGGGTACACACTAACTGTTGAAAGGGGCATTCTGCTTTTTTTTTTCATAAAACATTTTCATAATAAAAAACGTCATAAATTATACCTGATATTTCTAAAATATGCTATTTACATCTGTATACCTACTTGATCAAACTGAATTTGTTTTAAAAAGGTTATTTTAAAATGGAGAGTACTAATTGTTAATTAAGCAGTTAGGCCTTATAATGGCTCGATATTATTATTTGAAACAATTAGAATACGTAGGAGACATATTTCTCTACAATTAAGCGTCTATTACGGGACATATTTCTCTAAATTTTGTTGTTTAGTTTTCACAAATCTGAGCAAAAAAAAGTTTTGACCTCCAAAAAAAGCCTCCTTGTGTCTACTTGTAAACTTTCCTCAATTCAGTGGGTTCATTTCCACTTTCTCCCTGCATAAAAAACTTTAAGCTTACCTGAATTTCATCAGGGCATGCTGACTTAGTTTTCATGATGGTTGACAGATTAAACCCAGGTATAAGAATTTCTGGAGATGGAGGTTCTACAGGTATAGGTTTATCTTCAATATTAGTTGGTACTGCTGACCAAATGTTTGATCCATCATTCGTAGACCAAATATTATTGATGTGGTCTCCATTAGTTGCTGTATAGTTATATGACCATATGCTAGGCAGGGCTGTTTTTACTTGATCCTCGCTGGGAAAATTTGACCAAAAGTTATTGGATTGATCTGAAGAATCTTGTTTAGCAATTGGTGCAGCCGTTGACCAAGAATTCGAATAAATACTTTGAAATGAATTCTTCGAATTAAAATTTTCATCTCCTGATCCAAAATCTGTAGAATAATTCAATGGAGTTGATAATCCAGAAAGAGGCTCTGTAGAATTTGAAGCATTGTCAGCCATATATAATCTTCTGCTCTCTTTACCATATTTTTGAGAAGCATTCTGATTGGACAGACCAGATGACTGTTTGCAACCGGACATCTGATTGGCTTTATTATGTTGTTTGTGACTGGTTACACTGGACGAATCAGAATCACTGTAAAATCCTGTTGTATAGGTGGTGTTTATTGCCTGCTGATTGTTGCCATAGTAACGACTGTTGATGATGTTCGTCATTTCATACGGACTCTCGTTATAAAGCCTCCTATTGGATGAATTGGACTGATTATGTGGACTGTTGTTATCTGATCTGTTATTGGATGAATCAGACATATTGTAAAGATTGATATTAAATGATTGCTGATTGGTTGATTGAACTGATTCCCTGCCATCTGATTGGTCAAAACCAACTGGACTGTTTGTATAATCGGATGTTAAGAGATCATCTGAAAGAGTGAAATTTGTACATGAAATTTATATCTTTACTAGTAGCTTGGAATTGGCATCCATACTTAAATCACTATAACAGGTACATCAAATGTCAATCTGCATATGGCTTTGTCAATTATATTTGCATACCTTTGAAGTCAAAATGACCAATGGTGCAATCAGAAGACTAAAGTTAAGGCAGTTAAACTATCAACAATAAACAAATATAAACAAATTTCCGCCATTATTATTTATGTCATAATGTACATGCTTAATGATATTGTGATCTCTGAACTTCTCAATAACTTCTGAGTTAAACTCAAAGCTGGCTTAACTTTCATATCTGTCTGAACACTCACCAAAAAATCATAAACCAGACCAGCCTCGATGGTTAATAGTTAAGCTGCCTTAACTTTAGTTGTCTGATTGCACTTCCAATCAGAGGTCAAAATGAATCATGAATTATAAATTAGCACTACACCAACCTGTATCATAGGAAAAGTTCTCCAGATATGATTCTGGCATTCTTGATTTTACATCCCGGCTGAATTCTGGCACTTCTTCATCATTTGCCTAGAAAAAAACCCATAGAATCAAGCAAACGCAAATCATGCTGTAATGAAACTCGTCTTATATTTTGATTCCATTATTCTCATATCATAGAATGTAGTGATTAGATTAGCTCTCAACATAAATATTGTCAAGATTATGGCTTATTGTTTACAAATCGAAAAAAGCAGGCTAATGCGGCTGGCTGTCCTGGTAAAATTTCCCTCATTGCACCCTGCATGGCGTTGCACGTTTTCATTCACACACATGGTGCAGAAAAAAGGAAGTAGAACTCCATCTATTTCATTGTCATTGTCCCGTCTCAAGTCCCATCAACTTCTCCAGAAGGGTGAGTTCCTGCCAAATAAAATGTGGACTTACTATTCCAATTTCTTCCTGCATTAAGATATGAGCCAATGACCTCCCTTCTTTATCACTGGAAAATATAAACCATATCATTATTTCTATATTTTTAACTTCACTTTTATAGATACATCTACATATTCACAAATTATGGAGACCAGCAATGATGAAAAAAAAAATGGACCTTACACACACCAAAAAGCTAGAAGACCCCATTAATACCCTTTAAAGGTAAAGATTCGCCATTCATTTGACTAATCGTACCTTAGTCTCAGAAACAGGAATTTTAAGCTAAACCAATCAGTAATAGTGTTCACAGCTCATCGTAGAAATTTGAACATTCAAATCTATGTATGTCGAGAATTATCTACTTTTTAATGTTAAAATGACGACTCGGTTGCAAATAAGAATAGCAGTCATAAGTTTTGAATGAAACTGAGTTGTGAGTTGCATTCTGAACTCATGACCTCTTTCATAAAACCACAACCAGTTGCCTATGGTTGCAAATAACAATAGTAGTCATAAGTTTCTAATGCAACTCTTGAGTTACGAGTTGTGTTTGAACTCATGACCTCTTATAAAACAGGAAGCTGTTTATTGCTATGGTGTGAGGGCTATTAAAATCTGTTTAAATAATGACTATACCTGGTATATAGTGAGACTTCATCATACATAAACTGATTGTTAATTCTTACAATAGCTGTTTGAAATATCTTCCCTTTTGTTATCTCTTTAAAATAATTAATACCTCGACTAGTCCAGTTCTTTGCCAACTACAAACAGAAATAATATCTAAATTAATTCATTGCTCATAACATAGCATCAAATATAAAAATCTTGTTGCAATAGTGCAAAATGAACGGACATCCATGGTGTCCTACAGCTACAAACAGAAAGCAGCGTAGAATCAGTCAAGACTTGTGCCTTCTAGAGTGTTTAAGAGCAATTGTGAACGTAGAAATCAGACGTGGGTGACACCGATATACCCTCTACATTTCATATAAAATTTACATAGAATGCATACACAAATTTTTAAATGGATGTGGATTCAAGATTGTTCACTTACAGGAGTAATACCAGCCAGACGACATTTGGAAGCTTGAGGTTTTAACATTGTAAATATGATGGGACAAGCTAAACAGACTTGATCTATTGATACCATATCAGAATCACCATAGTCCACATATACTATATCTAACTTTCGCTTATCACTGTAATTATAAATAATATAATCAATGTTCTGAATATCAAACTAAACAAATTTTCAAACCCGATCGTACTGTACCTTACGTAGAATGCCCATAAGAAATCAATCAGAAAAATCAAATTGCGAAATCAATAGTGATGATGCCCATCATAATGGCATGCATATCCCCTGCTTACAAGAATATTTACAACTATCTTTAAATCAAAAGAAACAAGAATTTATGCAAGCCCAAGTATATCCCTAAAAGTTTTTCACATAATTTTTCTTCAAACAATACGAAAATCAATATATCCTTATTTAGGAATATGATGCTGAATCACCCAATCTTATTAAAATTTGATTAAATCCTTGTTTCGCTACTAATATTTTTGTCGGTGTCCATTGTAATCTTATCTAACAAGTTTTATACCAAAGGTCAGGTACTGGTGATGTTTCAAGCCATCTATGGCAGATAATCACGTGCCACTCTCTCACCAATCAGAATCACTTTTACATGAGAGTATTGGCAGTCTCATAATATCATCGGTCACGTTACTCTTTGGGTTTCGCTATCCCACAATCCATAGTCGATATTCAGACACAGATTCTGCATGATTAGTTGAAATGAACGTCAAGAGTACAAGATATTGACATAAATCTTTTTAGATTACTATCTAGTCTGTACAAAAAAAATACCAAACCAAAATTGTAATCTAATTTTAATCATATTGTGATTGACCTCGACTAAATCTTACCTATCAATCCGGGCTACCTGAGCTCTATACCAGTTACCATTGTGTTTAACAAGAACACAACAACCACTGTCTATATTCTCCAGTCTACCAGTAATTCTAATACACCCTATTCCCTCACAGAACTTATATAACTCTTCTTGTAACCACCTGAAACTCTCTATATCTTGTTCTGAAGTGGAAAATATATGTAATGATTTGAATAGGAAAACAAAGTTTGCAATGTCAGAAGAGTAAAAATCCTTAAAAATCTCAATAGGAATGGACTAATGAAGACTAGTAACGCCATGCAGTGGGCAATGATACTTTACAAAGGCTTCCTTATTTCTAGGATTTCCAGCTGTAAACCCAATTTTACTAGATAATTTTGATAGCTACGTATAACTCTAAGCTGTTAAGCAACTGTAAACAAAAATTGGCTTGATTCTTAGGTCAACTTTGTCATAAGTCTTGAATTGTATATAAAGTTAATGTCTTACCTGTTCCAACCTGAGCCCAGAAGTTGAATGGGTCAATCACATGAGTTACACGCCCTTGGAACAACTCCATTCCCCCTGTCTCAGCCATTCTGTACTAGTGCTGGTTAAAACTCTCTTCTCTCCGTTTAATCTTTGGATTTCTTGTGTAACTATTACTACTGCTTAGCATTAAATATTTCTATTTCCAGACTCCCAAACTTTTCACTTTAACTCTACGCCGTATTTGACTTGTATCCAAAATTTTGTAGCTGAGCACTTTGACAACAGGCTGTATGTAAAGCTGATAAAAAAATACTACTTATTTCGTATTTCTTTTTTGAAAACTGAAATTAAACACTTGTCGAGACAACACTAAGGTGTAAGCTTACTTGATGTCTTCCTTTGGGATTTTCAACTCTTGTTACTGTAAGGTGTAAGGATTACTGGATGTATACTTAAGACAGTATTTTGCAGAAAATCTTCTTTCACTTTCAGATTCCAAATTTCATTTACAGATCACCTTGAACAATTTTTGATAATCTCTGGTGTGTTATTTCTTCTGCATTTTAAGGATTCTTTATATTAAAATAGTATGGGAAGTCTTCAATTTTCTGTCTGTACTTTTTTTATTTATTCTTCTGGATGAATTTTGTTAGGTTAGGTTTATAATTATAAAAACTCTACTTGACTTCTTTAAATTTTCTAATAATTTTTTTTTGTTGTAATTGAAATATCAGTTTCAAGTTATTGATTTTCTTCTTAAGCAGCTATAAGCGAATTGCTGTCGTTTTTTCGATTCTCTCTTATAAAATTTAAAGATTAGTCTCATGCACTACAATAATAAATATTACTCTATATTTTCTTCTTTCTTCAGTTTTTTTTCAGTTTTGTTTCATTTTTTACTAAAAACACTACTATAAATTAAGTTACTTTACGTTGTCACATATTTTACTGATTTCTTCTTGTCATCTATGAATATTTCTGTTTGTTAGTACTGCTTTATATTCGTTAATAAATATCATGGAAACTTGAGCTGTATTTTTTCTTCAATTGTTTTGTTCCTGATTTTAATTTCTTTTTCTTGTATACTTTGATAATTTTGATACTTGACACTTTGACCATCCAGTACTTGTTTGCTATGTTTGTTTATAATATACACTACCATACAATACTTTACATTTGCAAAATATAACCTTTGACCTTTTCAGATAATGTGTTTTGTAAGTAGTAAAATTCTTGATAAATAAAACTAATCTATTGTTTTACTTTCAAAATATTTACAGTTTAGTCCAGTACTATTAACACTTCCAAATGTTCTTTTTTATAATTTAACACAACATCAAGTTCTAGTCAAAAATATCAATATTTGTGTTGCCCTTTTTGTAAAATAATGATATACACGGTTAATGCACAGATTGGCTAATGTTTGAAATGAGTTTGTGGAAATTGATAAGGTCGAGTTCTGTTTCTTCTAGTCAAATAAATAATAAATAAGAAAATAAAAGATATAAGCTTCCCTTAGCTAAATGATGTTATATACCACTAGACTAATTAATGTTCTTTCGATACTTTAGTTGCTGCCAATATTGCCCTGTAAATATTTCAATAAATAGAAATTCATTTGTTAATTGAAGTATTGCTTCTCAATGTTTCGATGTTTTCTTCAAAGATCTTCAAGTACTCTTTTCTTTTCTTGTAAATTTCGTTTTTTGTATGCCAATGTTTCCCAAGGAAAATGGCTTATCAAATTCAAACTCTATATAGGGATCACCAGCCTATGTCACATGTGATTCACCATCAAGCACTCTCAACAGCTTCTAACACCCCTCCAGAAAGTATGGCTATTTTAAAATCTTCCCAACTGGCACAATTTATTCTAAATCTGGGATTTCTTAAAAAAAAAACCACATCCAGTCAACTGTAACTGATGATCTTTTAATTTCACTCTCTCTCTCTATACTAACTACTACAAATACTGCTTGCTGATATAAGTTCAAATCTGAAATATAAAATATTTTGATTTTTAAAAAACAACCAAGAACCTTATACATGGTAAAAATAAGCTTATAAGATTATTTGCCATCACAATAATATTCTTACATTCAGAATGTTCTTTTTCGAATCCAACAGCAATTATTTCAAAGCACGTCTAAAGTATGCAAGTTCCAAGCATTTAAAAATCAGAAGTCATTTTTAAATTGATTAATTCTCAATATAACAAATATTTATAAGGAGTAGATAATTTTGAATCCTACATATCTGTCCTGCCTAAGTTGGCCCTGTAACTGATTTAAGCTTATAGAAGATGGTATATAGAATATGGTTAACCCAAACTGCTCTAATGTCCACTCAAACTCTAATATTCAACTTGGAAATATTAAAACTATGAGTAGCTTATTTATGACTATGATGATGGCAAGCTCAAAAATTAGTTCCTATCAATTTTTCAAGAGTTATATCTATCTTTGTAAGTACTGGTTTGTACATGTACATGAGATGTCATCATCCCACTAAAATGCATGATGTTTAAGATAGAGAAAAGTCGACTCTGAACCCACCAAGGCCAAAGGAAACTAAAAGTGGGTTAGGCCTACTAGCCTATAAAAGTTTGGGTTTTTTTCTCGTATTAGTGAATTGTTCAACTAAAAGTTGACCATTCTCGAACTTTGACATGAACATAAACCGCGTAAGAATAAGGCAAGAATATAGGAGAACACCAATTTCACAGACTTACAATTGTAATTCTCTATTTTCTACTAAAATATACAGTTTTCTAAGCTAAAACTTTGTAAATTAGTTTATTTCTCCTGGTGGGAATCCACCGACCTCATTTTAGTCAATAGCGCCCTCTACGTGGTTATCTCCCTTCGTCAAAGATAACATTCTCGATTATCCAGACTGTCCAGATAAATGAAAAATCCTATGAGTTGATTATAATTTTGGGTTTTATTAATGGTAAAACGATAAAAATATATAGAAGAATATTTTGTATCATGTTTTTATACTTTAAGTTATCACGACATTCAAAATTTCCATGACAATTTTCTTTGAACATAAATGTGTACATGATAATCAAGATTAAAGAATTCCCTTATCAGGAGAGACAACTCATTTCTAAATGCTTCAGACCACAGCTAAATGCCCCATTTACCTGGTATTCTGCATTCCACTAAGCCAAACATAAAAAAAAAAGTACTATCATTGTGATAAACCTGTTGCATCACATTTTGTTAACTCAAAGTGCCAATTATCACGATCTGAACATGGACGCACAAAAAATTTCATTGTTTAACTAGTAGCTTCTCAGCTACTAATGCAGTGATTGCAGATAATCCACATATGAGCCAGGGTTTGAGTATGGCATTCTTTTCCTCAAAATCCCCTTTCATTTCAGTCCTCTAATAAATGTAATTCTAACATGAAAATATAATTTATTTCAGCAAAAAATAACAAAGTAGTACAAAACTCTTTAACAAACCCTAAGGCCTTTTCAAACTCTTCAGATATTTTAATATCAAAACAAAAATCTAACTATTGGTTTTTATCTTTAATTTCTACTATGAGAGGAATGAGAATGATAAAACATGCAAGAAATTTAGCACTTTCACTTTGGATTAGTCAGAAACTTGCTGACTCTACCTATTCTAATAGATATCTCAAAAAATTAATATAACCAGTAGATATGCCCCAGCAAGTTTCAAACTATAAATGAGACATATTTTCTAGGCTGTTAAAATGGCTTCAAACAAAAAGCCCAAGTTATACACCATTAGCAAGGTTCTGAGAATTCCAGCCAATAGCGGAGCCCCCCCCCCCCCTGCTGCTCGGCCACTGATTCCAGACACTAAATGTAGTCTCATATTGGCCTACATAATGGTTTTGGATTATAATAACTTGACAATGCACCCCATATAAACCTAGCAAGTATATAATTATAAATAGCAAACATACAAAATAAACAAATATATGCAAAATATATAACTGAACTATCATTACTTCATGATATTGATATAAATTGATATTAAAAAAAAAACATGTAATAGCTTTTATAAAACTTAACAAGATAAATGTTCCAATTATGGTTATAAAATATTTGATTTAGACGAAAACCCTTGAGACCAAGCAAAAAAAAATCAGAAAGTGTTCTGGATAAAAAATATAATCTATATCAAAAAGAACATCTTGTTCAAATATAAGATGATACTTTTATATTTTGATTCGATGAATGTTGATTAAAAAACTGGCAAATTTTAATTGTAATATATTCAGAATGAAATTTAATTGTACAGTAAACAACGCAGTTAATAAGACATACTGGTATTATTCAGAATAAAACTCTGATTTAAGAAATTTGTAATAGCAAAAGTGACTATAGTTAAAGTTAACATACACCCATGTGGATATTATCATGACATCATTATTAATGATATTTCCATATTTACTGATATTATTCAGATTAAAACTCTTATGTCTGATTTATCGAAATTGTAATAGTAAAAGTGACTATAGTTAAGGGGAATGATTAACATACAATGTGGATATTACTAAGAGATTAGGGTGAGTGAAAGTAACAAGTTACTGTTCAATATAAGATGTGGTACAGGGTTAAAGTATTGTTTACAACTATTGTGGTGTTAATATTTAGTAATACAAGCATTTAGACCTAAAATAAAAATCCATAATTATATATTAAAAAATTCTTATTGACTGTAAAGAATAAAAATAATAAAGAAAAGGTGATGAACGGCAAGTCCAAGTAAAATTTAGAATGAGACTCAGGGTATGACATCCTTATTGATATCTTCATGGGAGAAATCACTTTAGCAGACTAATAATTCATGGTTGAATAAATGGTCATTTGGAACATGTGAAAAAAATGTGATGCACAGCGGATGTTAAGACAGATCATGCTAAAATATAGACATCTGTATGCCTTCACGGTCAGTTTATCAATAATAGTGTTCACAGCTCATTGCGAAATTCTAGGGAAGGAATTATGTGATTTTCGTACATTCTAGTACTTCTGAAGACTTTTTTACATATATTCAGACCCAAATCAACCCCTGAATATGGCAAACCTATCTCTCTAATAGTTTAGAAGTCACACCATTCCTTAAGATATGTTTCATATTAATAACAGGAGTCTTTAGTAACCTAACCAGCAGCCATTTTGTAAAATTTATTTCGATGTAAAAATGTTATTCGTTGTTAATTCTTTTCTGAACTCTCATCAACTGAATTATGGGTAAAATCAAACATATTCCACCACTAACATAGCAAACTTTAGCGCCAAGACTCCAATATACTGAAATAAAGTCAAATAAAAATTAATGACAGCTGTTGAGAGATATACTCATTTAAATGTTAAAACACACAGTTCAGAACGAAACTGGAAGGCAGTATTATATGAAATGAAATGAATGGAAATGAAATGAAATGAATGGAGTTTTACGTCCTACAGTATATATATGAAATGAAATGAATCCTACAGTATATATATGAAATGAAATGAATCCTACAGTATATATATGAAATGAAATGAATCCTACAGTATATATATGAAATGAAATGAATCCTACAGTATATATATGAAATGAAATAAAATGAATGGAGTTTTACATCCTACAGTATATATATGAGACTTATATACTAAAAAATCATTTCATTTCATTCCAGGCACTGCTCAAAATCCTATTGAATATATTTGCACCCATCCCTTCAAATAGTTAGAGTGGTATGTAAAAATCTTTTGACCATGACAAAGTATTCTTGACAAACATTATATTCTTTTGGAAACACGTTTCTGATACATAATCTGTCATAAGAACAGATGGTTTGAAAATAAATGCCCATTGGTATTTAGACATATATATATAATGTATGTTCAAAGCAAACATTATCTTACCTATAGAAGCTAATATTGGTCCTACAGCTCTAGCCAATGCTCCTAGAGATCTAAAGGTACCCATTATAATGCCTTTCTGTTCAGGTCCACCATGGACTGATATCATTGTTGTTAGACATGGTACTACTGTTCCTGATGCTGAAATAATTAAAACAATGGTATCATGGCTGACGTTAATCTTCCTGAGGTCTTGATCATTGAACTACATGTCTGAATATCAGCAACATAAGCATGGGAGTATACTAACGACAGTCTAGATACTTAAAGTGTGCTGTCATCAGTATTAGTTGCAGACAGATATCAGATTTTTTTTCCAAAAGGTATTTTAAAATTGAACTCCACAATCCAGAGAGAAAGTAAATATTTAGCCAATTTAATCCCTTAACTTAAGGTGTATTATGCAAGTCACATTTTGGTACTTTGGTACACTTTCTTAAAGTTATACTACCTCTTAGGATGAACAAGAAATTTAAATTTTGAAACTTGGTTAAAATAAGTCTCTGTTCATCAGTTGACTTGCCTATGTCATAACTATACAACAGAATCGCTCAAAAATGCGATAAATCCATAAAAACTAAGTAATTTTGAAAATGCTTACAAGTATGTTTCAATAATTATTTAGTATATTGGATGTATCCTCTTTTATAGCTATTTTATTCTAGTCATGGCACCTGGTTGGTCCAACTGATGAATATATACTCTTATAACAAAGTTTGAGACTTTAAAGTTTATGTTATATTATAAGAGGTCGTATCCTTTTAAGTGTGTGTTACTTGCAATAATCATCCTGTCTCATGTCAAAATATTTTAAAAACATACCAAAAGAAAATAAAAATAGTCCTATATACATTAATGTTGTAGAAGAAGCAAATGCCATGATGATAAATGCAGGAATTAATATTATCATTCCATGAGTTGCTACTTTATGTTGTCTGTCATGTTTAACTCTTCTAACATAACCCCCTGAAAATATCAAACATATCCTGCAAACACAACAGTGACAGGCAAAGGAAATTTGCTGATTTCAAAATTGAACTCTTCTAACCAAACTATCTTCGAAATTATTGCTTGATTCAATGCTAATAATACATGTAATGCCAAGCAATTTGCCAGGAATAAAATGTTACTCCTATTGTTGATTATCATCTGCCTTTTAAGTTTCAAATGCAGTGGCTGCAGCACACACAGAGTCAGTGCATTTACTATGAAATTTGATTTTAGGATTTAGTCAGCTTTTCTGATCAGTATCACTGAGAGGAGGACACAGAGTTGGAAATAGACAGGAAACATTCATAGCGAGCCCTGATTGGTTTATATTCAAGCATCTAACAGTTACAGATCTTCAAGCCAATAAGTACAAATAGCTGGGAAATCAACCCTATGAGAGTCAAAAAAAAAAATCAAATGTCAATGACTTTTACTTAGTGTTAGGGTGTATTGAGGCGAGTCTCAATGAGAGCTCTGTGAAGGACTTTAAAGTAAGTATTCATGTGATCTAAAATATCCAGTACAAAATGAACTTACCCTGAACTAAGGCCATTATAACACCCATAAAGAAAAACATCTTTCCTTGTTGTATACTGAAATATAGAAAAAACATTTCTGATCTCTATAGAATAAAATCAATTGGGTGCTCATCTGTTCAATATGTCACACTGCTCAAAATGTGTTTCACTAATTTCACAAATGACACTTTCTTAATACTCTATATACCTGTGTCTGAGCTTCATTTATTAAATAATAATTCAGATAATTTAGGAATTATAAAAAGTATTTCTTTTCAGGTGTTTCCCAGGCACTATTAGCATGATTTTGCTAAATTTTCAGTCACACTTTTGTGTTCCTTTAAAGTCCACTTATCTCTGCTTTTTATGTCACTGCTGCTAATAACATATAAGGGCCTGTGCGATAATGACATCATAAAACACTTAGTTTTAGTAGAAACTACGACAATCATGGAAGTTTGATTGCGAATTGGAATGGTTCAAATCAATCAGTGTCCCTCATCTGCGCCAACAGAATTCGTCAAATTAGCACTAGCAGAGCTTGTCAGATATATGCTTGCAGAGCTTGTCAGGTATATGCTTGCAGAGCTTGTCAGATATGTGCTTGCAGAGCTTGTCAGATATGTTCTTGCAGAGCTTGTCAGATATGTGATAGCAGAGCTTGTCAGATATATTCTTGCAGAGCTTGTCAAATATGTGATAACAGAGCTTGTCAGATATGCACTAGCAGAGCTTGTCAGATATGCACTAGCAGAGCTTGTCAGATATGTGCTAGCAGAGCTTGTCAGATATGTGCTAGCAGAGCTTGTCAGATATGCACTAGCAGAGCTTGTCAGATATGTGCTAGCAGAGCTTGTCAGATATGTACTAGCAGAGCTTGTCAGATATGTGCTAGCAGAGCTTGTCAGATATGTGCTCGCAGAGCTTGTCAGATATGTGCTAGCAGAGCTTGTCAGATATGCAATAGCAGAGCTTGTCAGATATGCACTAGCGGAGAGCGTGTCAGATATCTGCTTGCAGAGCTTGTCAGATATGTGCTCGCAGAACTTGTCAGATATGTGATAGCAGAGCTTGTCAGATATGCACTAGCAGAGCTTGTCAGATATTGTCAGATATGTGCTAGCAGAGCTTGTCAGATATGCAATAGCAGAGCTTGTCAGATATGCACTAGCGGAGAGCGTGTCAGATATCTGCTTGCAGAGCTTGTCAGATATGTGCTCGCAGAACTTGTCAGATATGTGATAGCAGAGCTTGTCAGATATGCACTAGCAGAGCTTGTCAGATATATGCTTGTAGAGCTTGTCAGATATGTGATAGCAGAGCTTGTCAGATATGCACTAGCAGAGCTTGTCAGATATGTGCTAGCAGAGCTTGTCAGATATGTGATAGCAGAGCTTGTCAGATATGTGATAGCAGAGCTTGTCAGATATGTGCTAGCAGAGCTTGTCAGATATGTGCTAGCAGAGCTTGTCAGATATGTGCTAGCAGAGCTTGTCAGATATGTGACAGCAGAGCTTGTCAGATATGTGCTAGCAGAGCTTGTCAGATATGTGCTAGCAGAGCTTGTCAGATTAGTGCTAGCAGAGCTTGTCAGATATGTGATCTAATGTCTAATAGACCAACTACAATAGGATGAAGAAAGAAAATCAAACAGAACTAACCTGTCATATTGAAATCTATTGTGCATGAGAAACGGAAGAGTAAACTCTAAACCAGAATATAAAAACATATAAATAAAATATAAACTTCCTATCTGCTGTAAACTGGATAAATCTACAAAATAAACAGTTCACTGTCATTTAGCCACAAATATTTTCAGCACAAGTCAGTGAGAAGTGGTTAGTTAGGCTCAGATCATTTAATAAAAATAGACACATGGATGTAAGGAGAGTCTTAATAATTACCAGGCAATTACTGCCATCCAACTAATCAAGTATATTATGATGTTATGATACATGCTTTTGGAAATTGTAACAATGGCAAGACTTTGCTTGTGACCTAGACAATACTTTGACCAGTTTAGGTTAACAATTCGTTACAAATTTTGATTAATGTACTAAGGTTGATTTGGTTTTTAATAATATCAATTTAAAGTTCATGCTCCTACCTGTTCTGGAAACATTGTGAACTGAAGAAAACTTTAATAATTTGACAGGATTGATTAAATCAGTAGAATTCTTTATACTTGAATTCTTACTCTGTAAAAAAATAAACAATCTGATAAAATAAAGATCTAGACATTTTTGTTGTTGTTTGCAGTGGGAGACTCCACTTGCCAATCATGCTGAAAGTTCTCTCTCTGTTCAATGTACAAGTAAATAATGAGTTTCAGTTCTATAGTCTATTCTATTGTGCTAGGTAACACAGGCAATGCTACAAACTGTGCAATGAGGGAGATTTGTTATTATTAGCCTACTTTTTATTGAGACAGCTGGTTTGGAAACAAGACTTAAATATCCATCCTTGGAACATTATGTGTATAAGTTTGTATGTTGTTATTATTATTATTATTGTATTTTGAAACAAGACTGTTATTTACTCTCTGTATAAGAAACATAAGCCTAATAATACACATATACTTACCCTTTTATTCTTCGGTAAAGTTTCTTCTAAAAACAAATAAACAAACAAAATATCACTAATAGCTAGAACCAGAGCAAACAGGGCTGGTAATAAATAAAACACTTCTCCCATAGACTTGCCATATACACTAAATAGAGCACCAATAGTAGGACCAAATACAAACCCTACAGAGAATGCTACTCCAATCCATGCCTGAAATATAATATTATTATGAACAGATGTATTAGGGTGACTGAAAAAACATAATCATCTGCTTTCAAAGAGATGCAGTTATCTACTTATTTGCTTCACCAGAAGGGCTCAATATCTGCTAACCTCAGCCCTTTTTAGATTTAAAATGAAGTGATTGGCTCTAATACAAAAAGTCTATTAATTGAAGACGGTCTGCGTTTCTGCTCAAGTTTGGCCTAACAAAGGCGGGCAATGTCATGCAGTGTGCAATAAGGGAAATATTGCTAGAACAGCAAATGTGTAAAATTATCATATTGAGTTTTTACAAGTAATAGCGTGTTTCTAGAAAAACAGGACCAACCGCTTTCAAATATCATTATGGTGCAAATGAAAGCTGAAAATGGGAAGTATGTTTGTGATAGCTTACCATTCCTTTTCCTCTTTTTTCTGGTGTAGAAACATCAGCTACTATAGCTGTACTTAAACTAACATTGCCTTTACTGATACCACCAACAATACGGGCAATAACAAACAACGTAAAGTTACTAGATAATGCCCATAAACCATAGGATACTGCTACACCAACCTATAATATCATATATAGAATAAAAATAGGCTAAGACCTTTACAATTCAATAAAATAAAATTGATAAACTGGATTGGTCAATGGCTTGAAAGACCAATTTCGTAATAATTAATGATATGGGAGAATATTGCTAGGGTATCTAGATCTGGAATGGTAAAACCTCCAGATAATCAAGTATGACGTGTGAATACCAGATAACACTTATTACCTAGCTGCCACGGGAATTCTTATTGGTATTATGAAACATCTTCATTATAAAAATAATCTCAAATTCCTTACAATTTATTACAAAAGACCATTGTCAGCATTTCCTATGAAGGATCAAGATCCTTGCTATTTTGTTCAGCTTTGAAAACTAATATTTTATTATTTTTATTTGAGCAATTTTTCAGTCCCCTAGTGTGATAGGTCTAATCAAGCTATCTGTATCATTTTTCATACAAAAAATGGTTTGTCTACAAACTTCCTGACAAAAGGCTATAATAATCAAGATACAAACATCATTAGTTGAGAAGTAACTCAGACAGTTTGATAAAACCAAATTTAAAAAAGCGTGCACAATGCAAAAGATAACTAAGGATTTCTCAAATAATATTGAAGTCAATTTTCATTCAATCTATGTCAATTTTTGTTAAGCTCAGCATTGGAAACATCCCAGGCAGTGAGAATCAAAAATAAGTAGAAATACTCACCATACAAATTAACATGAGAGGTTTTCTACCATACTTATCACTAGCTGCCCCTATCACTGGAGCACTTAAAAAATTTAATATTGAAAACAATGAGCCTATTAATCCTGAAAATAACAAGGACAAAAATATTACAATGTGACAATTTGGGAGGCGTTACTGTGCTTATAATAAAAAGTTGATATCAGCAAAGCGTTTTATGACGTCACTAGAGGGGGGCTACCGGAAGCTACTATTAATATTTATGCAGTTCCCCTCTTGTGACGTGATAAAACGCGTTAGTTTTAGTGGAATTGCAAGAACCACAGACGTCGGAATGAAAATTGGAATGGTGCAAATTGATGATATCAGTGTCCCTGATACACATAAAAAGTTTAGAAGACCTCTTTACAATCCCTTTAAGGAACATGATATTCTATAGAATAATAAATATAGTATATCAAACTTACCCCCAAATAAAACTGAGTTCCATCGTGGCGTGTCTGGTGCTCCAACAAATTCACGGAAATTACTAACTGATGTTTTAATATAGGTATATAGACCTTGCTGTAATTATACAATACTGACATTGAAACATTGTTCATTTAGTAAAAAAAGGGTTTCCAATACCAGGGGTTCCAAAATGACAATCAAAAGAGTCCTGCTGTAAAACCATTGGATCTAATATTTATAAAGGAAACATGGCGTTTTTCCTTTCTGCTATAGTGGCAGTAATATATTGCAAGATATTGCAGAGGCGTTTTTTTTTTAAGCCTACAGGATACTGATTTAAAATCTCCTCTACGTTGAGAACTTTGACAGGTGTCACCTAGCCAATCATTATTATCCCTACCTAATTTGTAAATTAAGTTTTTTATGGACTTATGAGACCATCTGGTCTTTATCCCAATCATTACAAAACCTCTACTTTCAATTGATGTAAGTATTAGCTTTCAACAACTGAATATATATGAATAAATAAAAATATTTTTAAGGCTAAAGCCATGAGTAGATGAGGTATGGTGTCCCAAGTAAGATCATCAATACAGTAGATATGGTAGAAGTGATACATGAGATATGGGTCCGTACACAGTGTGGATATGATTCCCTTCTACTATTTTCTACTGTATCAATTATCTCGGGCACTGTACCCCATCAATTCCCACCTTTAGAGTAATTCAAATGGGTTTTATCTTTCTGTTTTGTTATCTAACACGTACACAGTTAGTGTTTTTATGTTATAATCAGACTAGATACTATCAATGTAAGGTCAACTTACAATCTAGATAACCCTATAACATAATTACTGATAATTTATATAATAATATGTTAAATCTGGATATTGTTTTCATTCAACTCTGGCCTTCATATTCTAAAATTAAAAACAAATTTTCGACAGTAGATACAGAACAAGAAGGCATCGAAAGAGCTTCAAGTGAGCCCCAGAACTGCAGCTTCTAACTAGACAAACTAGCACATCTTATGACTGAATGGTTAAGTTAATAATGGTAATTGAGCAAATGTATTCGTTAGCGTGAAAAAATCGCTGCTTCTATTTTTAGTTAAAACAACTCCATTTATCCACAATCTGTATTGCATATACGCAAAAAACTATACATACCACAGACTAATACAAGACTGAGCGCTTTTCGTGTAGTGGTTCTTAAACTAGCAAGAATCACGTCTGGGTATTTTCAGAAAAGGTATTTCCCGACAGTCATTGACTGGATTACGTCTTTACGCATGGTTAATTACCTACATATATACTTGGCATGTCAAGTACTACGGATCGCACACATGCATACGGATGTGTTTGTGCCTGTGCATAGGGACAAAAAATCCAATCACAAATGGCAGTCTCTATTGCTTTTTTCTTTTTTGAAACTCACCTTGTCGTTGTTACCATAGTAATCCAAAATGGAGGGCAGTAGAGGTAATATGACAGTGAAAGCCAGAAGATCTAACACCAATGAAATAAACACAATTAAAAACACACGATTCATTCTTTTCAGTGCCACTTCATCATTAACCTTGACCTTGGTTGAACCTTCAACAATATTCTGTGCACTTCTTAACTCCATCTTGGTTTTTATCTCCCTGAAGAATAAATGAAAGTATGAAATGAGATGTGGGATTAGTTTGGGATACTAATAGGGATGAGGAAGACCGGGCAAAGTATTGAAGTGCAGAATGAGGGAAATTCTGACCACTGCCATCTCAGCTAAAAAAGTTGCTCATAAACATTGTTTCTATTCTAGTTACATAGCCATACTAGAGACTGAGAGTAACTCCACTACTTTTTAACAGTCTACCATACAGCCCCATTACCCCCAAGTATTCCCCTCCCTCCTATACAATCTCACCAATCCTGACTCCTTATCCCCATAGTCTTCCTCACCTTTATTGATAAAAATATTCGAAGTTTATCAGAGAGAAATACCAAGATCTCTATCTGACAGTAAGATTAGATAAACTGAATAAAAATATTCATTAATAAATAGTCACATGTAAACCTGCGCATGCAAACCTGTAGTTACTGAATCATCTCTAAAATAGTTAGGTTTGACACTGAGGCAGAGTGAACTCACTCTTGTGGAGAAGTTGATGTCAACTCTTTATTGTTTTGGAAATCAAATGAAATGCATGGATTTTACGTCCTACTTTTCTGCACCATGTGGGATAATGAAGACAGATAAAGATAGCTTGCCAGGCAAGGTAACATACGCCCACTGGCAGCTGTCAGAAATGATTAAACAGTCTTTAGTGACTACAGGGTTGCACAATATAGCTAATAGAGTGAAACGTCAAGTCAGACACGATATTTCGGTGAAATATTATCCGATCATCGCGAAAATCGATAGGGATCATCTTCATAATGACATTGACATACAAAATAAAAATCAAAAGAATCTGTAAACAATTGTAGCCTGTAGAGTGAGCACGAGTTGCACAATATAGCTAATAGAGTAAAACGTAAGGTCAGACACGATATTTCGGTGAAAAATTATCCTATCATCATGAAAATCGATAGATCATCATGAAAATCAATAGGGATCATCTTCATAACGACATAGACATACAAAACAAAAATCAAAAGAATCTGTAAAGAATTGTAGCCTGTAGAGTGAGCACGAGTTGCACAATATAGCTAATAGAGTAAAACGTCAGGTCAGACACGATATTTCGGTGAAAAATTATCCGATCATCACGAAAATCAATAGGGATCATCTTCATAATGACATTGACACACAAAATAAAAAACAAAAGAATCTGTAAAAAATTGTAGCCTGTAGAGTGAGCACGAGTTGCACAATATAGCTAATAGAGTAAAACGTAAGGTCAGACACGATATTTCGGTGAAAAATTATCCTATCATCATGAAAATCGATAGATCATCATGAAAATCAATAGGGATCATCTTCATAACGACATAGACATATAAAATAAAAATCAAAAGAATCTGTAAAGAATTGTAGCCCGTAGAGTGAGCACGAGTTGCACAATATAGCTAATAGAGTAAAACGTCAGGTCAGACATGATATTTCGGTGAAAAATTATCCGATCATCACGAAAATCAATAGGGATCATCTTCATAATGACATTGACACACAAAATAAAAAACAAAAGAATCTGTAAAAAATTGTAGCCTGTAGAGTGAGCACGAGTTGCACAATATAGCTAATAGAGAAAAACGTCAAGTCAGACACGATATTTCGGTGAAAAATTATCCGATCATCACGAAAATCAATAGGGATCATCTTCATGATGACATTGTCACACAAAATAAAAATCAAAAGAATCTGTAAAAAATTGTAGCCTGTAGAGTGAGCACGAGTTGCACAATATAGCTAATAGAGAAAAACGTCAAGTCAGACACGATATTTCGGTGATAAAATAATCCGATCATCACGAAAATCAATAGGGATCATCTTCATGATGACATTGACACACAAAATAAAAATCAAAAGAATCTGTAAAAAATTGTAGCCTGTAGAGTGAGCACGAGTTGCACAATATAGCTAATAGAGAAAAACGTCAAGTCAGACACGATATTTCGGTGAAAAATTATCCGATCATCACGAAAATCAATAGGGATCATCTTCATAACAACATTGACATACGAAATAAAAATCAAAAGAATCCATAAAGAACTATAGCCTGTAGAGTGAGCACGAGCCAAATGTGAACGGACGGACGGACGGACCGACGGGGTGATTACAATATACGCTCATCTTACGTTTGGGCGTATAAAAAACCCCATGTAGGGTGCAATGAGGGAAATTTTGCCAGGACAGCGACTGTTGCCTGCTCTTTTTTATTTCCAACTGTCACTGTCAAGGGATCTTTAACGTGCCCAGTCTGTTTTTTCCATGTCAGTCCCTCTTACCTGCTGTATTGTTTTGGAGAGTTCACATAAATAGTATTGTAAACTTTTCATCTTCTCGAAGTCAATCTATTACGAATTGCGTCCTATAATTTGATTGCAATAGTCCACTTTCTTGTGGATTGTACTCCACCGAATACAGTCATTATTAGTCCTCGACAGAAACTTTAATACTCAATATTTACAGTCAAGAACTCTGATTGACTGTATTTGCTAGTGTATAATCCAATCAAATCAATGCATTTACAAACTTGTGATACAAGAATGGTGACTATTGCAGTCTAGGTATTAGACACAGTCAGTTATAGCTTACCGGTAACATTGTGAAGATGACATCTAGTATGCTAGTTTGATAACATGAAACAAAAAAATATATATTTCTAATTCTTAAAGACGATATTATCCTAAGGCTAGAATAGAAGCTATAGTCCTCAATAATTTTCTCATTAAATTTTGTTAATATGTCTATTTCTTTTAATATGATATTATCCTTAAGCATAGAATCTATAGTCCACAATAATTCAAGGAGAAATTATACCTAAGTTGCAAATCAAATAGCTTCAGAAGTTTTAAATACGAATCTAACCCGAAGTACAGTTAGCCCAGGGGTATCAATTATACACTTGAATTCTTTTCAATAGAAATTAAGGGATAAAATAAAGTAAACTGAAAATTATGGTTTTATCCTTTATTTCAAATGTAATTAAATAATCATTAAATAACTCAGTTTATTGACCCTGAGGTCAAATTAGTTTTAAGTCTAACCAATAATAATCACTATTGACATACTGGGATTGGGTAGATTTCACTTTCATGTTTCCTTCTAGCAGGTCTACATAACTGTATTATTCTGTAATGCTCCAATTGCAAACCTAACATTTCAAAGACCCAAACAAAATGAACAAAAGATGACTAACAGAATGCTCTTCAGATAGAATGTCCCAGTAAAGGCCTTGTTAGCCTCGTTATCTATATTTCCAAAAAATAAAAGTAAATTTTGTTTTGATCCAAACAATCACGGCATAATAAAAAAAATTATTAGAAATCCAACCGTGATGAAAACAATAATGTTGGATTATCTCATGTTTCTGACACACACATACTGGTATCAAACTCTTTCAGGATAGATGATGTAGTTCTATGATTACCTTTCCAAATATTTGAGCTTCATTGATTAGTCAAACTCACTGAGGATCATAGAATCAGAAAAGAGAATATTCTACAACAAAACACTACAATACTAAGGGATAAAAAGACATACAAGAAAGTCAATGAGGCAACCAGTGGCAGAGCCAAAGGGGAACCGCCGCCCCTCCTCGCAGCCCGGAAAGCAAGTTTTTCATTCAAAAATCTAATAACTAAATTAGAAATTCGGGCAATCTCCGATATGTCGCCCCCTCAGGGACGTAAACCTGGCTCCGGTGCAAAAACTCCTGGTGCAAAAATACTGTAGATATATTTCGTGTTATGCTTACATACCTACCATATGGTGCCCTTATTTAGAGCGTATTATTAAGACAAATATACAGATAGTCATTCCAACATTGGGTAACTGAAAACAAGCCAGAAAGTTATAAGTTATAAACCCTTGCTGTAAAATTACTACATTTTAAATTGACAAAGTTAAAAGAATTTTCTACCAGTAATTACCTATGTAAATATACAATAGTTAGTGCTTGGTTTAATTATTTAACCTATTTTACTGATCCCTGTACAAACTCCATTAGTCAATGATTTTCTAGTTTAAAATCCAACTCTTCTGCTTCTGATTTGGGCTACTGCAGATAAGCAATACCATTCACAGTGTATTTACAAACAGCAACATAAGCCTACTTTTTATCACCTGTCAGAACTTATCAATGAATAGAAAGCAGAATGAATAGTCTACACTATTCATTGAGTACCATAATTAAATTAGAGTGAAACCCACTCAAACCCAAATTTCATTTTGAAAAATGTTGGGAAAAAAGCCTCAACCTTTTTTTTTTATCATATAAACTTAACGAAGGTTTACTTTAATTCTAAAAGGGTTAGGTGCAGCACTTTGGGGAATTGAATTGAGTGTTGAATAAATAGCCTTCAGAAGTACTAGAAATGTACGAAAATCACAAAATACATTAAATTACTTTTATTACTAATAGGCTTAGCTAAGGGATTCCCATTTCTGAGACTAAAGTATGATTTTTAAAAAAGAAGGCCTACCTGTCCCTTTAATTGTAACTAAATTAGCTGGTAACTAAATGATATCAACCTTCTATTTTACTCTTGTATTCATTAAACTACATCCAACTAAGAGAGGTTGGCCACATCTGCATTGTATTATACTTTTGATGACAGGCATCAATGTATGTTTTCTGTCAACTGTCCTTGCATATCAAGAGATAGTAAAAACATTTTATTTTAACTTTTTTACTATATTATATTTTGCTGACAATTATAAATCAACATGTCAATTCAGCACTTTGTCAGTATGTGATGGATTTTTCACCCTAGGAATACTACATGGTCCACTGCTTCAGCAGATGTGTCAGATAAGCAGAGAAATGTCAATACTGCATTCTATTCATATTTCTATATATCATTATGCTGTCAATGTGTACGGAAAATCAAGGAAAGACA